CATTTATCATGATGTTGCTTATTGGTCCAGTTGTGAGGATTTTTGTTTTCTTTATGTTGAGGTGTAATCCATACTGATGGCTGTGGTCTTTGATCTTCATCAGTAAGTGCTTCAAGTCGTCTTCACTTTCAGCAAGCAAGGTTGTGTCATCTGTATACTGCAGGTTGTTAATGAGTCTTTCTCCAATTCTGATACCACATCCTTCTTCATATAGTCAGTTTCTCAGATTATTTGCTTAGCATACAGATTGAATATGTATGGTGAAAGGGTACAACCCTGACACACACTTTTCTTGGCTTTAAACCATGCAGTATCTCCTTGTTCTGTTCGAATGATTGCTTCTTCCTTGAGTCTCTGTACAGTTTCCTCATGTGCCCATTAAGTGTTCTGGAATTCCCATTCTTCACAATGTTATCCATAATTTGTTATGATCCACACAAACGTATGCCTTTGCATAGCCAATAAAACACAGGTAAACAGCTTTCTGGTATTCTCTGCTTTCAGCCAAGATCTATCTGATGTCAGCAATGATATCCCTTGTTCCACATCCTCTTCTGAATTGGACTTGAATTTCTGGCAGTTCCCTGTTGATGTACTGCTGCAAGCACTTTGGAATGATCTTCAGCAAAATTTTACTTTCATGTGATATTAATCATATTGTTTAATAATTCCCATATTCTGTTAGCTCACCTTTCTTTGGAATGGGTACAAATATGGATCTCTTCGAGTTGGTTGGCCAGGTAGCTGTCTTTCAAACTTCTTGGCATAGATGACTGAGCACCTCCAGCGTTGCATCTGTTTGTTGAAACATGTTAATCGGTATTCCATCAGTTACCAGAGCCCTGTTTTTTGCCAATGCCTGCAGTGCAGCTTGGATCTCTTCCTTCAATACCATCAGTTCCTGATCATATGCTACCTCCTGAAATGGTTGAATATCGACCAATTCTTTTTGGTACAGTGACTCTGTGTATTCCTTCCATCTTCTTTTGATGCTTCCTGTGTCATTTAATATTTTCCCTGTAGAATCCTTCAGTATTGCAACTCGAGGCTTGAATTTTTTCTTCATTTCTTTCAGCTTGAGAAATGTTGAGCATGTTCTTCCCTTTTGCTTTTCTAACTCCAGGTCTTTGCACATTTCGTTATAATACTTTTCTTTGTCGTCTGGAGCCACCCTTTGAAATCTTCTGTTCAGCTCTTTTACTTCAACATCTCTTCTTTTTGCTTTAGCTACTCTACATTCAAAAGCAGGTTTCAGAGTCTCTTCTGACATTCATTTTGGTCTTCTCTTTCTTTCCTGTCTTTTTAATGATCTCTTGCTTTCTTCATGTATGAGGTCCTAGATTTCATTCCACAACTCATCTGGTCTTTGGTCATTTAGTGCTCAATGTGTCAAATCTATTCTTGAGATGTTCTCTATATTCAGATGGGATATACTCAAGGTCGTAGTTTGGTTCTCGTGGACTTGTTATAATTTTCTTCAGTTTCAACTTGAACTTGCATATGAGCAATTGATGATTTGTTCCACAGTCAGCCCCTGGCTTTGTTCTGACTGATAATTTTGAGCTTTTCCATCGTCTCTTTCCACAGATGGAGTCTATTTGATTCCTGTGTATTCTATCTGGCAAGGTCCATGTGTATAGTTGCTGTTTATGTTGATGAAAAAAGGGATTTGCAATGAAGAATTCCTTGGTCTTGCAAAATTCTATCATGCTGTCTCCAGTGTCATTTCTATCACCAAGGCGATATTTTCCAACCACCGATCCTTGTTTTTAGTTTCCAACTTTCGCATCCCAATCACCAGTAATTATCAATGTGTCTTGATTGCATGTTGGATCAATTTCAGACTGCAGAAGTTGGTAAAAATTTTCAGTTTCTTCATTTTTGGTCTTAGTGGTTGGTGTGTAAATTTGAGTAATGTTTGTATTAACTGGTCTTCCTTGTACAAATATGGATATTATCCTATCACTGACAGCATTGCACTTCAGGATGGATCATCAGATGTTCTTTTCGATGAGGAGTGCAGCGCCTTTCCTCTTTAATTTGTCATACCTGTCATAGTAGACCATATGATTGTCAGATTCAAAATGGCCAATACCAGTCCATTTTAGCACACTAATGCCTCAGATATTGATCTTTATGCATCCCATTTCATTTTTGATGACTTCCAATTTTCCTAGATTCATACTTCATACATTCCACATTCTGATTATTAATGGATGTTTGCAGGTGTGTCTTCTCATTTTGAGTCGTGCTACATCAGCAAATGAAGGTCCTGAAAGCTTGACTTCATCCACGTCATTAAGGTCAACTCTGCTTTGAAGAGGCAGCTCCTTCCCAGTCGTATTTTGAGTGCCTTCCAACCTGAGGGGCTCATCTTCTGGCACTATATCAGACAGTGTTTCACTGCTATTCATAAGGTTTTCACTGGCTAACTCTTTCAACGTAGACTGCCAGTTCCTTCTTCCTAGTCTGTCTTAGTCTGGAAGCTCCACTGAAACCTGTTCACCAAGAGTGACCCTGCTGGTATTTGAAATGCTGGTGGCAATGCTTCCAGCATCAAAGCAACATGCAAGCCACCATAGTACAACAAATTTACAGACACATTGTGGATTGTAGTGTGTATCAGTACTTTATTCCTTTTTATTGCCAAATAATATTTTATTGTATAAATATACCACATTTTATTTATCTGTTCATCGGTTGATGGACATTTGGATTGTTTCTGTTTTTTAGCTGTCATGAATAATGCTTCTATGAATATTTATGTACAAGTTTTTATGTGGACATCTGTTTTCATTTTTCTTGAGTATCCACCTAAAAGTGGACTTGCAGGGTTTTATTGTAGCTGTATGTTTAATGTTTCGAGGAACTGCCGAACTGTTTTCTAAAACAGTTGCACCACTTTACATTCAACCAGCATGGGATGAAGGCTTTTTCCTCATTTACTTGATCCTCAGAGGAATTTGTCTTGAGATGGGTAGAGCAGGAATCAATATCCCATTTTTTAGATGAGAAATCTCAAAAACAGGGAAGTGAATGATTTCTGTAAGGTCACAGAGTTAGCTAATATTTTATAGCATTCGATTCATGGAATATTATGATATCAAAATCTGTTTAAGCTTTGCATTTTACAGGTGAGGAAACTGAAGCCCACCCAGAGGCAGCTGAGTTGTCCTGGGCCACAACTGGCTGACAGCAGAGCTGGGACTAGATCCCTGGTCCCCCGGCTCCAGCCCAGGACTTTTCTTGCCCCTCTGCTCTGCTTCTCTGGGCTGGGACTAGAACCAGTTCTTCTGACTCTGAATCAAGTGCTCATTCTCCTCTTCTATGCTGCCTCCTTGTGAATCAAGAGTCCAGCTATGGAGACAAAGTCTCTGTCTATGAAACAACTGAACACCAGAAACAGCATATGAGATGGGAAAAACCATAAGAATAGGAAGTGGTCTCACTCCACTGAAATGGACACAAGATCTGACTCTTTGGTGCCTATTGATAGTGTTTATTGATCAACATTTTCCTTTCAGACATTGACAGCCCCAAAAACCTGGTGATGGACCGGGTGACAGAGAACACGGCCACAGTCTCCTGGGATCCAGTGCAGGCTGTCATTGACAGGTACATTGTGCAGTACACCTCTGTAGACGGAGAGACCAAGGAGGTCCCGGTGAGGAAGGATCAGAGCAGCACGGTACTAACGGGCCTGAGGCCAGGTGTGGAGTACAGTGTGTACGTGTGGGCCCAGAAGGGGAGCCAGGAGAGCAAGAAAGCTGACACTAAGGCCCCAACAGGTAATGCAAGCATCTTTCTTTGGTGATATAACAGATGTCATGATAAGTGTATGTCACGTTTGGTTTTCCTTTTCTGACATTGACAGAATTGATGATTTATGGAGGGGCAGGATCCTGACCTTTCATAAATGACTGCACACACCAGCCCTCACTTCCCTTCAACTGGTTTTCTTACAAGTCAGTTCTATGTGGCAGTCTCTAAGCTGTGCTTTTCCTGTGATTGGGTGGTCATGTCCATCCACTCCTCCTCTGATCGTATGAATCCTTTGCTGTAGACAGTATTGAGGGCCTTCACTGAGTTTGTGAATGGGAACAGAAAATGAAAATCAAACATTGTTAATATTATAGAATAGCATACTGAAAATTCAACCTTACGAAAGTAGACTTTACATCTGCCATACCAAGTAGATGTGTGTGGTTTGTTTTATTATAAATGAGTCATATTATAATTCTGCTTTTGAGGATAAAGATAACTCCAGTGTTATATTCTTAACGTTGTGAGAGAGATATAATATATGGCCATATTTTGTATATTGATTTAGCCAGCATTACAAGTGAATCTGTGATAGGTTTAAGAATATTAAAACTGAATTTTATTTTTTGCTGATTCATTTAGCAAATATTTATTGAACGATTTCCATGTGCCCTGTACTCTACTGGGCACTGGGAACACAAAGAGGACAGGATGCAGCCCTGCTCCTCTAGATGCTTATATTTGGATCTGACTTTTGGAATCTTCTTGTATGAAATGGTGGGCTTCATTGACATAATGCTACATGCAAAATTACTAGACCCTTGTGAGTAGAGACCCTGTCTTCTTCAGTACTGCACTTTGCACGCTACCTAGCGCCATGCCTGTTTTGCATGGTATACCAGTTGCTGTTGAGTTGGTTCTAATTCATGGTGACCCCATGTGCATTAGAGAAGAACTATTCTCCATAGGGTTTTCAATGGCTGAATTTTTGGAATTAGATTGCCAGGCCTCTCTTTTGAGGTGCCTCTGGGTAGATTTGAACCTCCAACCTTTTGATTAGCAGCCGAGCATGTTAATCGTTTGCACCACCCACAGACTTGTACATAGCATGGTCTCAGTAAGCCCTTACTAAATGAATAAAGAGATTTATTTTGCTAAACTCTTAGTAGAATAACCTAGAATTTCAGATTCTGTTCTACTCTGCTTTCTCCTTAAGGAGCCAATGTCTATCTGGGAAACTTTCTATCTGAGAAACTGTCCATGAGACAGTTCAAAAACAGAACAAGACCATATGAGATGAAAAACCACAAAACAGGAAAGGGTCTCACTACAAGCAAATGGCCACCAGTTCCCACACTCTAGGGCCTGTTAATAGTGTTTATTGATTAGCACTTTTCCTTTCAGACATTGATAGCCCCAAAAACCTGGTGACAGACCAACTGACAGAGAACACAGCCACCATTTCCTGGGACCCGGTGCAGGCTGTCATTGACAGGTACATGGTGCGCTACACCTCTGCCGATGGAGAGACCAAGGAGGTTCCGGTAGGGAAGGATGAGAGCAGCACGGAGCTGACGGGCCTGAGGCCAGGCATGGAGTACATGGTATATGTGTGGGCCCAGAAGGGGAGCCGGGAGAGCAAGAAAGCCAACACCAAGGCCCCAACAGGTAACAGGAGGGAGAAGAATAAACTGGGGTAATCAATACAGATTGCTCTGTAGCTGCTGAATTATGACACTGCTGCTTTTGGGTTCTTTGACATGGGGGCTGTGGTCTATTTTGGGAGAGTTTATTGTGAGTAACCTTATTCATATAAGGAAAGAACAAAGCATGAGTCCGATAAATATCTTAAAAAACTTTTCCCAAAGCCTTTGCTTTTAACCACTGTGCCTCTCAGTTACAGAAAATTACAGGAAATAAGGTAAAATCAATATAAGAATTCCTAAAAAATGTCAGATTAAAGAACTGTGTAGTGGTAAGCTGTTTGATTAAGTAAGTGCTGTGTAGTGTAAAGGAATATGTTTTAACCTGAGCAGCTGGAGCCCTAGGTTCTTTTCAACCTGCAACTAATTTTTAATGAGTATCTTCTAAGTACAAGGCATGGGAATACTGTGATGAACAAAACAAATATGATTCCCATTCTCTTGGAGTAAATTGGGAAAGATAGAGAATAACAAGCAAATAAACAAATTTATAGTCATAAATTATGATATGTTCCATGAGGGAGAAGAACATGGGGTAAGTATAGAGAATAATGGGGCTGAGGGTCTTCTTAGATGGGATGTGGTGAGTAACAGTTAGGGTACAGATTCATAAGATACTCAGCAGTTGCTTAAACAAGAGAGAAGCTTATTCGTCTCTTGTGGAGTGGTCAGAATATAAGTAGGCCAAGGCTGATATGGTAGCTCCATGGTATGGGAGCCCTAGGCCCCTTCTGCATTCTTGCTCAGCCATCCCTAGGGAGTTTTCCTCATCCCCATGGTCACCACTGTATCCACATTCAAGCCAGTGGAAAGGCACATGGGAAAGGGGAGGCATGACTGGAACATTGCACATGTCAGTTCTCACATTCCTTTGGCCCAATCCAAGACACAGTGCCAGACCTGACTACAAGGGAGGCTGGGAAATGAGTTCTGTAGTTAGGTTGCCATGTGCCCAGCTTAAATTTCTATTACACTGTGCTGTACAATATTGTAGGCACTAGCTACATGTGCCTATTTAAATTTTAATTAAAAATAATTGAAATAAAAAATTATCTCCTTAGTTGCACTAGCTGTCAAATTAGACAGTGCACCTTGCAGGACATTTCCATCATTGCAGAAAGATCTGTTGGAAAACGTGTTTGTAGAAGAAGGGAAGAATGTCTGTCTGTTGGGGGAAACTAGCCATTTCTGAGAGAAAGAAAAGTTATGTGTGGTATCCTTAAGCTGGAATAGCACATGAGATGGTGGAAGAACTAAAAGGAGGCATCTGTAGCTGGAGCATAAAGGGTGAGAGAGAAAGTGGCATGAGATGAGGTGGGAAGGAGGTAGGGCCAGATCCTACAGCATCATGTGATGTCTAAAAAATGAAGGTAGTTATATTTATTAGAAGAAGAGTGACATGATCCAGTATTCATTTTAAAAAGATTACTTAGATGACAATGAGGAGAGTAAAGAGATGACAGAGGTAGAAGTGGAAAGACTGGTGAAGAAGCTATTGTAAAAGTCTGGATGAGAGATAATGTGGACAAATTTGATGGCAGCAGGGCTAGAGAAAAGGGGATGTCTGGGGATCTATTTTGGAGGTCAAATTGACAGTAATTGTTGGTGGATTAGATAGGGATAGGGAGAAATCAAACATAACTCCAGTGTTTGATCAACATGGTGGAAATGGTGGCGCCGTTTTCTGAGAGGGGTGACTGAGAGATAAATAGGTTTGGGGAGTAAGGTCAAGACTTTTAGATGCTTAAGCTCGAGGTATTTGTGAGATTCATTGATTAGTTGAGTAATTTAATTATTCATTCTACAAATATTTATTGAGTAATATGTGCCAGGCACTGTGGTGGATATGTAGATACAAGTCAGGGGCTCAGAATTGATACAGATTTGGGAGCAATGAATGAACAGTCATGGAAATGGGTGAAATCACCTAAGGAGAAGTAGAGGGAGAGAGAGAGAAAGAGGGAGTCTTGGACATTCCAACATTTACAGGTTGCCCACAGAGGAGACTGAGGAGAAGGAGCCGGTGAGTTAGGAGAGTGTGTAGTCATGAAAGCCAAGTGCTGAGAGTGTTCAAGAAGGAGGGAGTGGATCAACTCTGGCAAATGCTACTAAAAAGTTGAGTAAGGTGAGGATGACAAGTGTCTATAGGATTTGGCAATGTGGAAGTTGTTGGTGACCTAAACTAGCAGTTTTAATCAAGTGGTGTAGAAAGAAGCAAAACTTGGTTGATTTGAGGAGTGAATGAGAGGTGAGGAAGTGAATGTAAGGTATGCAGACAATTCCCTTAAGAAGTCTGTTAGGTAATGTAGGGGGGCAGATAAATAAATCCGGGGAGGGATGGAGAGCCTACAGCTTGTTGGCTTGGGATGGATGATGGAGAAGGAGAGACTGATGATGCTCGAAAGATGGTAAACGAAAAGGAGCAAAGTCCTTGAAAAGGTGGGAAGACTCAGAATTCAGAGCACAGAGGGTCTGGTCTTGGTTCGAACACAAGGAAACAGTAGGACCTTGCATAAGTGTCTTCATTTATCTGGTCTTCCATTTTCCTTTCCTTTTATAAAACAAGAAGATTAGAAGATATGACTTCTCAGCCCTCAAATTCTGTGAAATAAAATAATTAGATACCATGGAGACCATAGAAGAGTTTGTATCAGCAAAAATTTTGATGGCTTGTCTTATTGCTCAGGAGATTTTTACTGTTATTCTTAGGGCAACCACAAGGACAGAAAATTTCCATCTTGGCGAAGATCCGATTCCTTCTAGTTTTAATATCCAGTGGTTTGTTTCCCTGAAAAATGGAAATCAAAGACCTTTTACTTTTCTTTCAGTGGAATTGTACAGTTATTAAAGATAACCTGAGTGGAGAGCTCCTGGTGATGGGGTGGTGGGGTGTTCTCCCTTGGTTCTACAGTTCAGCCTTTTCTTAATCTTTTGAAAAAGAAATTGACAGCCCCCAAAACCTGGTGACAGACCAGGTGACAGAGAACACAGCTACCATCTCCTGGGTCCCGGTGCAGGCTGCCATTGACAAATATGTGGTGAGCTACACCTCTGCTGATGGAGAGACCAAGGAGGTCCCAGTGGGGAAGTATCAGAGCAGCATGGTGCTGACGGGCTTGAGGCCGGGCATGGACTACACAGTGAACGTGTGGGCCCAGAAGGGGAGCCGTGAGAGCAAGAAAGCTGACACCACGGCCTCAACAGGTACTGTGAGGGACAAGGACACAACCCTTCATACATATCAGAAGAGAGGGGTGGGAGGGGAACAAGAGGAGGCAGTTGTCTCACCTCAGATCATTCTTCAAGGCGGTCCCTTTTTACTTTTTGAAGTAATATGTTGACATAACAATTGTTTAGACCAAGATGAAAAGAGTGTAGATGAAGCAGTGTGAAAGTAAGACTTTGAGACTCTTCATGATAGTTGTGCAGCCCCTCCACCCAATCCAGGTCTCAGGCTCTCTGCCTTGATATTGGAACCTGGTTGGTCTCGGCTCTAGTTCAGAGGAGAGAGAGGAAAGCACTGTCTTCTGTTTCCATCCTCCACAATGGGGGCGGCGGTAGAACATCTTCCTCCACTCACTGTCCATCTCCAGTTAATGATTAAAGGTGCCTGGACTGCATGTATTGTGTGTGTGTATGATGGGACCTCCTGTACTGGCCAAGCATCGTAGAACTTGGTCCTCAGAGGGACCTGGAGGAGAGCATCTGCCCACCCTGGGGTCTGTGGGCCTCTTCAGGCAGTCTGGGCAAGGTCTGTCCACTCCTGTGGCTGAGTATATCATATGTGGCCACTGGAGTCAGAGGTGCCTTGAATTTTTAAAATTATTTTTATTAGTTGTAATTGGCAACAATTTTTAATTAAGAAAGTAATACATGCTTATAGTAAAAAATTTCAAACTAAGCAAAGAGGTATAAAAAGAAAAGAAACTCTTTCCCATCCCAGAGTCCCTAGTCCCCACTGCTCCTCTCCAGAGGCAGCCAGTAACCAGTGTCCTGCCTCTTCCCTCTTTTCCTCTCTCCCTTGTTCTTTTCTTCCTCCCTTCCTCTCTTATCTTCTCTTTGTTTCATTTTCTACATTTTTAAAGACAAGAATAATAAGATTATCATCTTTTTACTTTGTAGATACATGAGAGTAACTAAGGCAGACATCTCAAGTCCATAACCAGGGGATGGGTGAGCAAAGAGGTGGCAGAAAGTAGGTTAAAATAGTTAAATAGTTATGGTTTTATTGATTTTTGAAAGTAAGAAATTCAGTTTTTCCATGCGATGGATAGAATAAAATCCAATGCACATGTTACACTTTAAAAAGTCAAACCAAGCTGTTGTTATAGCAACTCAAAATTTGTCAAAACATCCTATTTCAAAACAAAAGCTGCCTGATTTCTATTAAAATATTGCAATTCAGTTCCCCACTGAAATGCTACTGGGTAGAAAATAGCCTGGAGACATCGTTTTTGGAAACTTCTAAATTAAAATCATCTTCTATAGTGATGTTTTTTCAAAGTGGAAATTTCCATTCATCTATTTGGTTAAAAGGAAAAAAAGAGCTGACTGACCAAAATACTATTTTGGTGACTAATATTTTTGCCAAGCTTTGGTTTTCCTGCTCTAAAGTGCACTCACAAATGCCCTTGCATGCCCTCTGGTGTTTGGGGGGGGAAGTGCAACAGGAATCAGAAGAAAAGGTCTTCAATATCTCTCCATCTCTTCTTCTCTTTCCCTTTTTCTCTCCTCCTTTACAAGTCCCCTTTCCCTCCCCAAGAATTCTTTATATAGCAGGTATATGTCTAAGGCTACACATTTAGATATGTAAAAAAATAGAACTTTGTATTGCCTACCAGCTCAATTTTCATCATAAGCCCCAACTCTGCTTATGGGGCAGAAACATCTGTAAATTTAGGGTCGCACTCCTTCCCGAGGGCTGTGTGTAAAGTCTTGGGACATTTCCCAATGCCAGGCATTGGGGGCCCCATCTGGCATCGAGGTCATCTTTCCAGGCAGGTGTTTGCTGAGATGCCCTGGTATCTGTGTGCAGGGCCCTTTCAGATCTGCGTCTCTCATCCCTCCATACCACTTGGGGAGCCCTGCCATCTCTGAGAGTCAACTGCCCGTACCCACCCCTCTCTGGGGATCTTCTGGGAAAGTGGAGGCACAGAGTCCTTCCCTCTGGGACCCCTTAGTCCTCTATTCCTTACTCCTGTTGTCCTCAGTGCATCTCCACTTTTGGAAAAAATGGTCAAGAAGGGCCTTTGGCAAGAAAGAACAGAGCCCTGCTACCTGTTTGAGGGAAGAAAGAGAAAGGAGAGAAAATGTAGGGAGAAAATATAAATTAACATCTCAGGAATGATGTTGCCTCTGTTGCATGTTAGTAATACTAATCACCTGAATTTTAATATACAGAAATCGACCCTCCCAAAAACTTTCATCCATCCAATGTAACACAGTCTAGTGGGATATTGACCTGGACACCTCCCTCTGCTCAGATTGATGGCTACATTCTGACCTACCACTTCCCAGATGGCACTGTTAAGGTACTGGGTACTCTTTGTCTTATCTCTTGGTGTTCGTACTCAGCTTCTGTGTGAAGCAAAGGACTTAGGCTAATCAAGTCATCATCTAATAATGTCATAATGATATCTAATAGTTCTGGTCTCATGGCAACCTGCTGATTGATCACTTGATCCTTACTGATCATCTGTTCTGTGCCAGGGCAAGTGCCAAACACAGTCTTTGTGAACATTGTAGTTTCATTTTCTAGGACTAACCATTGTGCCTGCCCCTAGCTGACCATTGCTTATTTGCTGGTATACACCTGCTCTGTGTTATTTTGTTTATGGTTGGTCTTCCCCAGTGCAATGTAACCTCCATGAGGGCAGAGAATTTTTGTCTGTTTTATTTCTTGCTGTATTTAAAGTGCTTAGAAAAGTACCTGGCATATGGTAGGTGCTCATTAAATATTTATTGAATGAATTGATTAACCTTTATTTCAAGGGTTGTACCTCCTACATGGAATCTGGAGGTCTGCAAATTTTCTAAACTTGTTCTAATAGAAAATTATTATTCCTTTGCCTTGGCAAAGCAGAAAGAAGGGAGGAAGGAAAAGAGGAATGGCAGTTTAATTCATTTAGTATTGCAATTCATGTTTACATAGCCTGGCTAGGAAAGTTGTTGGTTGCCCTTAAGTTGTCCTGATTTGTGGCGACCACATGACAATGGGATTGAACCGTTGTAATCCACAGGGTTTTCATTGGCTAATTTTTCAGAAGTAGATCTCCAGAATTTTCTTCCTAGTCTGTCTTAGTCTGGAAGGTCTGCTGAAACGTGTTTAGCATCATAGCAACATGCAAGCTTTCACTGACAGACAAGTGGTGGTTGCGCTTGAGGTGCATTGGTCTGGAATTGAACCAAGCAATGCACCTCAAGCTTGGAAAATTAGTCCTTTTTTTTTTTTAATTCTATTTATTTTGTTGTTGTTGTTGTTGAGAATATACACAGTAGAACATGCACCAATTCAACAGCTTATACATGTACAACTCAGTGACATTGATTACATTCTTCAAGTTGTACAACCATTTTCACCCTCCTTTCCTGAGTTTTCTCCCCATTAACATAAGCTCACTGCCCCCTAAGGTTTCTATCTAATCTTTCAAATTGCTGTTGTCAATGTGATCACATATAGATAGTTCTTAAAAGAGCATAATGCTCAAGGCAAACATTTTCTTAATAGTTAAGCTAAACTACTGTTTGGTTTTAAGAAGACTTCTGGGAATATTTTTGGTTTAAGGTTTTAAGATTATCTCAGGGCAATAGTTTCAAGGGTTCATTCAGCCTTTGTATCTCCAGAAAGTCTAGAGTCCATGAGAATTTAAAATTCTGTTCTGAATTTTCCCCCTTTTGATCAGGATTCCGCTATAGAATCCTTGATCAAAATCTTCAGTAATGATAACTGGGCACCATCCAGTTCTTCTGGTCTCATGGTAAAGATGGCAGTTGTTCATGGAGACAATTAGCAACCCATTCCATATTCTGCTTTTGACTAAGAGGTAGAACAGAAGCACTAAACATGTTATTAGGCCAATTAGCTGGTATGTCCCATGAAACCATGACCCTAAACCTACAAACCAAGGAAGTAAATCCCATGAGGTATTTGTTTGCACATAAGCAGCCTCAGCAGCTACTTTCTCTCTTTTTTTGGTCATTGTTGTAAATATATCTATCACGCAACTTTTGCCAATTCAACTTTTTACAGGTGTACAACTTCTGATAGCAATTACAATAATCAGCTGTGCAACCATACCCTTAACAATGCTATTCTTCCATCACCATTAACTCCCCTCCCACTACCTCCTGCCCCTGATAACTACTAATAAACTTTGTTCTCTATATATTTGCTTTTTCTTGATTTTTTATATAAGTAAAGTCATACAATATTTGTCCTTTTGTAACTGACTTATTTCACTCAGCATAATGTCTTCCAGCTCCATCCCATATCATAGCAGGTATCAAGACTTCATTTCTCCTACTGACTACTTCATTATTCATTATCACAATTCATGCTTACTAGCCTGGCTAGGACTGACCTAAATGATTATCAACAAGTGAATGGATAAACAAAATGTGGTACATACATACCACGGAACATTACTCAGTCCTTTGTTATAGAGGAAGTAACAGAGGTTCGAAGGGAAGTTTATTGAAAAATCAACTATCGCCCTGCCTCACAGATATCAATGGCCAGTTTCATCTCTCCCTGCTAACTTCTCCTCAGTCTGGCATTTTCTTTGGCGCTGCCAGTGGTGGCTGGAGTCAGTGCCCCAGAGTGTACCTGGATAGTGGAGGTCCCCAGGAGACCTCCTGGCAGGTGCTTCCACTGGGGCAGTGCCTGCTGCTGGCTCCCAGCTAGTGCTTCTGTCAGTGCTGAATCTCCTTGGGCTGGCCCTGCAGAGAAGGGGCTGGGGCCCATTGGGATTCTAAGCTGCCACTGAGCCCTCGAAGAAACAAATCACTGCTCCTTGAGAGCTCTGTCATTAGCACACAGCGAACGCTATTGACACCGAGGGTGATAAGGGGGTGATAAGGTGAATGACCCACTGTCTGCTATGTCCTTTGGTAGGCGGCACAGCTTGGACGATGGGACCAGAGGTTTGAGTCACAAGGCCTTCAACAAGGTGTCACCTACCCTGTTTCCTTGGTTGCCTTTAAGGGTGATCGCCGGAGCAAGAATGTATCAACCACCCTGTCCACAGGTAATGTGGAATCCAGTCCTCTGAACAAGAATGCAATGGGGGATGCGCATTGGAGAAGCCAGAAAAGCAGTCCGAGGAGGAAAGAGTGGATATAGAGTTATGGATTCCTCTAGGCATGGGGAAATGGAAATGGGGTTATGGGTTCAAAAGAAATCTAAAGAGGGGAGCAAAATGGAGTGTAATTTTGGGGACAAGTTGGGCCAAGGGAGGAACTGATGCGAACTTGACCTTAGTTCTGGTACGTTTGGAGGGACTGTCAAGAGCAGAGTGAGTGACAGAAATGCGATATGCATGACAAGTTGGAAGAAGCAAAGTAGTAGGAGGTTATGAAATATTTTGTAAACAAAATTTATAAACACTGTCTTAAAGGACAAAGCCTCACTCCCCTTCTTCCTTGCTTTTTCCCTAATGACACTGTCTTTCTGCTTGGCTCCCAGTTGGTGCCCGTTTTCCACACCCTTTGGACTGTAGTCAAGTTCAACAGAACAGCAACGTCGCCAGTGGCCTGTACACCATCTACCTGCATGGCGATGCCAGCCGGCCTCTGCAGGTGTACTGTGATATGGAAACCGATGGAGGTGGCTGGATTGTAAGTCAAGCTGAGCCCGGGGCACTCTGTGCAGGTTCTTATATATCAGGTCATGGCCACCCCAGAGAACCCCTGGCAGCTCCACTTCTTTATCCAGGAAGAGAGGAACTTTGGTGGCTTTTGCTGTTTTTAGAGAGATCCCAACCCACTATAGGAAAAGAGCCTAGTCCGTAACACCTGGAATTGAATAGGCTTGGTCAAATGAAGGTTGATGACTCTGAAGGCTCCTGGATTTATCATCATCTAATAATGTCCTATATTTATGTAGCATTTTGACCTGCACACCAAAGCTTTAGAGTAAGTGAGAGAGGTTTATTATTCCTGTTTCATAGATAGGGAAAGTGAGGTCCATAGAGAAAAGTTCCTTGGCTAGGTCACACCACAAGTTAATGACAAAGCTGGGACCAGATTTCAGGATGTCGGCCTCCTAGTTCAATGGTCCTCCCAATGGGCCATCTCAGATTTCCGTGGAAGCGCATGATCTCTTTAGAGGCTCAGTCCTCTGAATTTGGGCACTTTGTGCAGGTTCTGCGTCCTGGCTCCGCAATACAGAAACAAGGCCTTTGGGACTTTGATTTTAAAGACTAAAACCTAAAAGAGGGAAATTTGGGCAGTGTTCTGATCTTCCCTCTTCTTTGTGGAGGTTTTATTCTCTTGGACCATTGTCTACTTAAACCACATGACACCTTCTTTGATTGTATCAGCCTGATCCAATTATGGGATGAGCTGCCTTTGAGGGTTGCAATCTGATTCTTCCACTCTCCTCCCCTCCCCTCTCCCCTTATCCCTGTGCCTGAACTGATAGAAGCTCTCACTACCCCAGACCAGCACGCAGCCTCACCTGCTGTGCATCTGTGACTCATCTGGGAAGGAGAAAGCATGCTCTCATAGTGCTCAAACTATATTCATTTACTCATTTGCTCAGGCGCCTGGGAAACCAAAGACACTGAGCAGCCATGGATAAAATGATACCATCTGATGAGCAGCAGTGAAAAAACTTATTATCTACACAGCTGCATGTGACAGCTCAAAGGCAGTAATTGGATTGGATGGGGGTAATTCCTGATGGATTTATAAAAATAAGGGGACAGAATGTAACATGGGGAGTTTCCACCTGACCAGACCGATAGGGCTGTACCTGCTGCTTCTCATCAGCACCATTTTAACTCCAAGCCTTCAGTCCCTTCCAGCTTGAAGCCCAACTCTCTGCCTTTGTTCTGTGCCCATAACTGACAATTGACCAAAGTTTGTACTGTCTTGCCTGGCCTTGTTGAAAGCCACGTTTGCACAGAGAAAGAGACATTTTTATATAGGGCAACTTTTAGGAAAATATCTGACAGTCTGTCTGCCTGGGAATACCCATGATTTTGTCCACAAACATTTATTGAATGCCTATTATGTGTCAGGTACTGTTTTAGATACTCAGACCCAGCAGTAAACCAAACAGACCAAAATCCTTGACCTCAAGGAGCTTGTCTTCTACCTCCTGCCCAGGCAAATGATCCTTACTGGAACACAGAGGTCAATTCCATGAATAATGAAATCATTCTGCATTTTAACCAACACAAGCTGCCCATCCCACCCCAAGTCTTGTCTTCTGACCCAGACTCCTGGAGGTAATGCGTATACTGAGATCCTATAGGGCTCTCCTCAAAGCCGACACACTCCAGAAAACATATGAAGTCCTGAAAACTTCTTCACAAAATACTGACAGTTTCCATGTTTTTTGGGTTGAAGAGAGTCTTGTCACTTAAGGATAACCTATAGAACATTGCTTCTTTTTATTGAGCTTTTAGAATCATTTGGAGGTAATTCTTCTCCAGCCCAGGCAGCAGGAACCTGATTTGATTTGTAGGCCAGAAGAGCCCTGCCCTGTGGTAATGGAGGCTGCTGGTGGGAGGCTGGAATGAAGACCATCAGGGAACATTTAAATGTCTTGAATATTTCCATTTTTGTTTTCCATCTTGCAAGTATTAAGGACTGTATGAGAGGCCCTTTCTAGAGACATTTAAATGAAATTTTGATTTTTTTCCCCTGATTTGGACATTCAGGACATTGAGAAAGTTCCAGAGTACAATGACAACTCTGTAGTCTAGAACCAGATGTAAAAAGATTTTTTTCTCCCTTGAGACTTCTTTTGTTATCTCAAATAGTTCATTATAAGGTGTTTTCACCTCATCTCATGGAATGGAAATCCACTAGATTGTGAGTCAGTCAATTAAGGCTGCCTGATCAAGATGTAGTAATGATCCCTGCGGGTGGGCTCATTTGGAATCTGATATAATAAAATGAAAACTAGCATTTACTGTGTTTACTGTATCTGTATGTGCCAGACTCTGGCCTAAGTATGTTGTGATTTATTATGATTAATGACCTTGCAGAAGCCTCAGTGTAAGCCCATGGCAAAGGGACTATTTACATCTTGATCTACACTTGGGAAAAGCTTGTCAGGATTAATTTGCCCAAGGACACAGCTAGTAAGTGGTAGAGGAGGGTCTAAACGTTGATTCAAAGGCCACCAGCACCACTGTTTGAAGCTTCGATGTCCAAGTAGAAGCATTATTAAAAAAAAAGAAAAAAAAATCAGCATGACCGCTCCTACCATGCTTAGCTCTCAAGGTCAAGCAGATTATATATGAAGAGACAGCAGTGACCAAAGCTCAAGCGACCAGTTGACAGATCTTAAGGGTGGTCCTCACAGTGTCAACCCAAAGTTTCAAAGGGGTCAGTTGCCATTCCTTCTGGAGCTAATAAAAAAAGGCAGATCCCTCTTTCCTTGCAGAGGTGCAGTTTAAGAGGGTTACATCTGTGTTATCCTTAGAGGAAATATTTTCAGGCCAGTGTCTTGTTGAAATGTCAGGTGTCCCCTCTGGTTGTCAGAATTGCTTACATTCTCTGTTAGATTAAAAGCTTGTGGGCACTATGGTCATTGATTGGAGATAGAGACAAACTGCTTTTGTAATGTATCTGTCCTGGATCCCTGGTGGCACAGTGGTTAAGAGCTCGGCTGTTAACCAAAAGGTCAGCAGTTCAAATCCACCAGTCGCTTCTTGGAAACCCTATGGGACAGTTCTACTGTGTCCTATAGGGTTGCTATGAGTCGGAATCGACTCAACGGCAACTTTTTTTTTTTTTTTTTTTGGTAATGTATCTGTCCTAGGAGGGCAGGATTCGATTTGAGCCCAACCTTGTACTGGGAACTCAGTTTGATGTGATGTATGTGGAATCAAACATTTGTGTCACATCTGTCCTAGGATTCCACTGTCCACGATAAGAGAAGGGTCTCAGGGAAGGTATTGGAACAGGCGCCGTGCTAGGAAGTTAACAAGGAAAGTGTTTTTCGACAATAGGTTCAGTAGAGAACTGGTATTTTTAAGCTTTCTGGCTGAAAGAGGAGGAGATTTGTGTTTTATCTTTGCATGGACTATTAAATAGTTAGCTATATGACTCTCTTGACTTTACATATGTAAAATGGCATAATATATACTTGTCCCTGAGCCGGCACTTAGACGCTCAATAAATGATTGTTGTTGTTAGCTGCCGTAGAGTCAGCCCGAGTCATGGCTAGCCCATGCATAACAGAACAGAGGGTTTTCACTGGCTGATTTTCAGAAGTAGATTGCAAGGCCTTTCTTCCTAGTCTGTCTTAGTTGGGAAACTCTGCTGAAACTTGTTCAGCATCATAGCAACCTGCAAACCTCTACTGACAGATAGGTGGTGGCTGTGTATGAGGTGCAGGTGCACTGGCCTGGAATCCAACTGGGGTCGCTCACGTGGAAGGCGAGAGTTTGACTATGGAACCACCACTACCCTCTAAGCTGGGTTGACTCCGACTCATGGCAACCTCATGTGTGTCAAGAGTAGAATTGTGCTCTGTAGAGTTTTCAATGGCTGATTTTTTGGAAGTAGATCATGAGGCCTTTCTTCTAAGACAGCTCTGAGTGGACTCGAACCTCCAACCTTTCATTTAGCAGCCGAGCACGTTTAACTGTTTGTACCACCCACGGACTCCATAACTTAATGAAGAAAAAATGAAGGGAGCCAAGAAAGGAATGAGAGAGACATCATTAAAAGATGAACTCTTGTGAAAAAAAGAGAATAACAATATTAGTGCAGTGTGTTATGTTTGCCACAGTAATTCCTGAATTCCATTCAGCTTCTTCATTTATGGAACATTTTTACACATACCTTCTCATTTGGTCCTCCCAGCACCTCTGTGAGGCAGGCACCTCTTTCCCATTTCTATCCCTGTTTCACCATGAGCTGACTGAGGCTGAGGGAGAGAAATGACTGAGTCACCATCACCTGCTGGCCAGTGGCCATGGTCTAACTCCAGGCCAGGGCTTTCCCCTGCCCACTTATGCCTTTGTTCAGTGCCTCCCGGACGAGCAAACATGGATGGGCTTCAGGAAGAGTTGGCCAATGTGATCCTCCCACATGAAGCTTTAGCACTGTTGCAGGTACTCACTCTTCTCCTCCCTCCCTGTTGCTTCCAGAGAAAAATGTAAAGAATGCACACATATTTGGAAGTTTACATTCCCAAATTCAAGATAATGTGTTTTACTTCAAGGCACATGCTGCGAAGCATGATGGAAGGAGGGAGATTGGATTTTGCACTGGGGCTTCTGCATTTGAATGAATACAAAGGAAAATAGGCAGAGAGAAAGATGCAATTCCAGCCTTTGGTGAGTGAGAACCAGTTAGCTGGGATAGTGTTTTGCTTGGCTCTCAAGGTCCTGCAGAATTATATGTATTATCAATTCCAATAGTATATACACAGGTGTGTTTAGCTTTTAGGGACTTTTCAAGTGTACGTCATATGAAGGAATCCAATTTACTTGGACTGGAACTGCCTTCCCTCACAAAATAGAGGAATTTTGCAAATAAAGCCGCCCGTTTTTTCATGAAATAGTATCCAACTCTGTCTCCATTTTCTCACTTACTCCTTAACCCCCTCCAGTCTGGCTTCTGCCTTTATCTCTCACTAACACAGCGCTTGATAAAACCACCAGTGATTTCTGTGTTGCTAAATTCTGTGGACAGTTTTGGTCTCATGTTCCTTGACCTCTCATCAGCATTTGACACTGTTGACCACATCTTTCTTTTTGAAATATATTCTCTTTGTGGCATTTGTGATTCCACATTTTTCCTGTTTTTCTTCTACATCTCTAATTGCTTCTTCTCTATCTCCTTAATGAATTCATCCTTCTTGATGTGGCCATTAAATATTAGAGTTCTTCAAGGCTTGATTCTAGGTTATTTTCTCTTTTCAGTTCCTATTTTCTCTCTAGGTGGTCTCATCCTTTCTCGTGGCTTCATTTTACTGTCTATGTCCCACTGGCTGTCTGTATTAGTTAGGACAGAAAGGCATATGTTGCTGTAACAAACCAACCCCATATTCCAGTGATCTAACACATAAACGGAGCCCCTGGTGGCACAGTGGTTAAGAGCTACAACTGGAAACTCTATGAGGCAGTTCTACTCTGCCCTATAGGGTTACTGTGAGTTGGAATCAGCTCAATGCCAATGGGTTTGGTTTTGGTTTTGGTTTAACACATAAAGCTTTTTGTCTCGCTTGTGCAGACTCCTCTTTGGGTTTGGCAGCCACTTCTAAGTGGCAACCCAGGGAGTCAGGCTGTTTCCATCTTGGGCTCTGCCCTTTCAACATGTGGCCTTCACCATGGCACAGTGGCACCATGGCAATGAAAGAGAGAGCATGGAAAATCCCACTCACTCTTCTGTGCTCCTGCTTATTTAGAACTAGTCACATGGCTCCAACTTAACTGCAAAAGAGGCTGAAAGAGGAGGTCTTCCCGTGTACCTGGGAAGAGGAAAATGAAGTGGGACTTGAGAACACCTAGCACTGTCTTAGACACACTCCCACATTTATCAGTCTAGCCAGACTTTGCTTTAGAACTCTATCTCCTACATCCAGCTGACTAGATGGCATCCTTACCAGGATGAGCAAGAGTACCTCACACTCAACATGTCTCAAAAATGAGCTCATGACATGCACGCACAACACCTGCCCTCTTTCAGAATCTCCCATCTCAGGGAATAGCTGAGTAAATAGCCTACCAGTTCTACAAGCCAAAACACAGGGAATCATTCTTGACTTCTTTCTCTCTTCTAACTCCACATTCAATTGATCACCAAAAGTTTGGTCAATTTAACCTTCCAGCCCCCTAGTCCAAGCTACCATCCTCTCCTACCTGTACTGTACAGTGGTCTCCTAACTGGTCTTCTTGCAGCCACTCTTTTCCCTGGCCAGTCCATTCTTTACACTTGTAGCTAGAGGGATCTTATCGGGATATAAATAACACGCCACTGTCTGCTTTGAACCCCCTCGATAAATTCCAACACTCTTATGATAGGCCAGTGTCTTCAGGAATACCTATTAAAATCCCACCAGTTCTGACCCCTGCCCATCTCTCCAGCCTCCTTCCCCTTCCCTTCCTCATCAGTTGCCACAGCCCGACATCCCAGCTGCAGTTCTTTTGCCTGACTGCTCTTACCCATCCTGCAGCTCTCAGCCACTTCCTGAGGGGAGCTTTCCTATTCCCTGGTCAGGTCCTCCTATTTCGTGCTTACACAGTACTATCATGCCTTTCCGTCATAGTCCTCCTCACAGTTTTAATTGTAAACTTACTTGTTTCATTGTTTGATGATTTTACTGGACTATTAGCTCCATGAGGGCAGGGAATATTTCTGTTTTATTCCTTTTGCACATCGTCTTACACAGTGCCTAGTACATAAGGAGATGCTCAATAAACATTTGTTGGATAAATGAACTTTCTTCTCCATAAGTATTAAATGATTGCCTATGTTAAGAATCAAATGAATTAAGAAACAATTCTTACTTTCAAACTAGTTAAGAGGAAAAAAGACAGCATATAAACATAAAGTGTCCAATTGAGTTGAATAGATGGTGAAAGTGACAGGTGAGAGTAGGCAGAGGTCTGGAATGTCCTTCCCTATGCAACCCACCACCAGCAACCTTATCACCAGCTCCTCGAATTTCCCCTTGCCCTAGAATGGAAATTTCTTGAGGGTAAGAACCTTCTCTGCTTTTATTATATACATTGCAGTATTCAATATAATATTGTACACATAGAGACTGCTTACTAGTATAATAGAATCAGTGACTCTACCAAGAGGTGGAACAAATGGTTAAGTGCTCTGCTGCTAAGCAAAAGGTTGGAGGTTTGAGTCTACCCAGAGGCACCTGGGAAGAAGGTCCTGGTAATATACTGTCAAAAGATCACAGGCATTCAAAACTCTATGAAGCACAGTTCTGCTCTGACACCCATGGGGTCACCATGAGTCAAATCTACTCAACAGCAGCTTTTTTTTATTTTTAATCCAATATAGATAAAAAAAATTTTTTTAAAAAAAGAAAGAAAGGTATGCTAGCAAGAGGAAGTCAGTATTTGCGGAGTCCGCTTTTATCTCTTAGCACTACCTTGAGTAATACAAATACTGTTCCCCTCCCACTCAGCTGTGTCTGTGCAAGTTTGTTAGAGTGAGTCGTTCATCTCCCTTCTCAGGTCTTCCAGAGGCGGAACAGTGGGCAGCTGGATTTCTTCAAGCGTTGGCGGACCTACGTGGAAGGCTTTGGGGACCCCATGAAGGAGTTCTGGCTTGGTATGATCTCTGAGAATCCAGGAGGGCTGGGTTTAAAAAAGTGATTTCCCCCTTGAAAAGCTGGCCAGGCAGCTTGAGGAAGCTCACAGAATTCCAGGAGAGATCCAGGTGACATGGACCATCTGAGGAACCTGCAAACCAGAGTGTTGGTAGGGCCACATTGCTGGGAAAGTTCTCATGAGCTCTGGTCCTGTGAAAGGGTGGGACTGTTACCAGATGGTTTTTATGCTGTATCTAAGCCCTGCAGGATCTTCCTGAAGCTGAATTTACAAACCACAGTAGTAGGAGAATAGTTGATTGATTGGGATTCTGGGATGTTATCAAGGGGTAATTCCAGTAGTCTCTGAAATTCTGCTAGTATTACCAGTCATTATGGGCATTGTTTTTTCCCTTTTTCCCTGTGCCTTATTCTGGAGCAGATGTTTATAGAGAATGAAATGGCCAAAAACACCAACTGGGAAATGAGGAATTAAAAAGTCATAATCTGGATATTTGGTTTCTGAGTTGATGATGTTTGTGGTTTGCTTGGTATAAAATCCCCTTCAGACATCTTAGAATGAGTAGTTAATCTACTCTCCTGCTTATCTGGTGAGTTAAGTGGATGATACACAGAACTGCTTCTGCTTTAGAGAGGTGGAGTCAATGGAGGCAGGCTCATCCTGTGAGTACCCTCCGCTACTCACTTCCACAGGACATGGTTCGCATGCTCATTAGCATGACTGTGCCAAAGAAATAATAGGATGAGAAAAATGAGCCCCCCAAAGAGAAAGTGTTGGGGAGGCCCCTCGGTAGAGGCAGTTCCAAAGGCTAAGATGACTTTTGGTCCTGAAAGTATCAGATGCAAATGGTGAGTGCTCACACACATGGGTTGATTGGCCATTGGAATTTATTCTGTTTTTAGGACTTGACAAGCTGCACAATCTCACCACTGGCTCTTCTTCCCGGTATGAGGTGAGAGTGGATTTACAGACTGCCAATGATTCTGCCTATGCTGTATATGATTTCTTCCAAGTGGCCTCCAGCAAGGAGCGGTATAAGTTAACCGTTGGGAAATACAGAGGCACAGCAGGTAAGAAAAAATGTTTTCTTACTGCTAGGGTATCTGGCTGTCTGTGCGTCTAAGGATTGGTTTGCCACATGCCATGGATCTGGGGGCGGAATATTGTTCTGCAGAGGTGAGTCATCCACATTGACAATTGAGGGAGTACACCCTGCAGGGGCTGGGGGTGAACAAAGTGGGTAAGATAATCTGTGACCATCATAAAACCGGAACTTTTGTACATTATGCATTGACATCCACCTCAAAAAAAAAAAAAAAAAAAGAATCTTCTCTTCTTATTCTCCCCAGATTCAGGGTGTTGTACGCTAGCAGGTGAGCCCACTTTATGGGCCGTTTGCCTGGTACCTGCTAATCTTTTCTTCAGCTTCAACAATATGACTGCCATCTTTGTCTGCATAGCTTTGTGTGTTATTATTTAAATAGTTTATGGATTTTTGCCATCAGTGAAGACAGAAAAATGAAAGTGCTGATTCAAATTGTAAGAAGTATAGGTCCCATTAACTTAATACAACTGTGACAATGCAGAAATTAGCAGTTGAGCTGGAAGCAGGGCATCTTTTACCTTGATTAGCTGCTCACTGGATTTAAGCCAGTTGATGGTGTGTTCAGTTGTGAAGGAAAAGAACAAAATTAAGCAACGTGACTGAAATACTGGAATTATACCATTGATTATTTTATCTAAGAGGGAAAGTGTAGTTAGTGTTTTAATACTATATTTTAAACCTATATTTATAGTTTTAAAGCCCTAACTAGTCTGTCGTTTGACTTTTGCATGTTTTTGATATACCTTGGTGTAACGTTGTAGGAATGTGTTATGAGCAAAACATGGTTTCTCCCTTTAGACTCACATGTAAATAGATGAATAATAATATAACCTTTAAAAAGAGCCAAGTAGGTGGTAAGGAAAATAAAGAGCTATAGGAGTATGGAGTAGATGGGTACATTAAGGATTGTGGCGATGGAAGGAAGCTTCTTGAAGGACAGTGGGCTGGACTTGTGTCTAAAAGAAGGGTGGAACTTAGATGGGAAAGGAATGAGCACTCCAGGCCTGGGAAAGCCTAACGGTGAGCAAAGACTGAGCAGAGCAAGGAGATCGCGGTGCACTCTTATTTTTTTTATTGTAGTAAAATGTACACAGCATATAATTTGCCATTTTAGCCATTTTCAAGTGTCCAATCCAGTGGCATTAACCACATTCACAATGTTGGGCACCCATCACCACTATTTGTTTTAAAACTTTTTCATCACCCCAAACAAAAACTCTGTATGCGTTAAGCAATATCTCCCTATTCCTTCCTAACTAACTCCGGCTCATGGTAACCACTAATCTACTTTCTGTCTCTATACATTTGTCTGTTCTAGGTATTTTCCTATAAATGGGATCATAGAATATTTGTCCTTTTGTGTCTCGCTTATTCGTTCAGCATAATGCTTTCAAGGCTCATCCATGTTGTAGCATGTATTAGAACTTCATTCCTTTTTATGGCAGAATAATAGACTACATTTTTTTTGTCCATTCATCTATTGATGGAGACTTGGCTTATTTTCCCTTTTGGCTATTGCAAATAATGCTGCAGTGAACATTGGTGTACAAATATCTATTTGTGTCCCTGGTTTCAATTCTTTCGGGTATATACTTAGGAGTGGAATTATTGGGTTGTGTTTGGGGTGTATTCTTGAAGCCTTGCAGGTCTTTTCAAAATTATCCACTCAGGTACCCGTAATGGCAGAGTACTGTACACAAGTACCTTTGAATTTCTGGGACCGTGATCCAAAGTGGCCAAATGCTAATGCAAAATTTCTTGGAGATCTTATAATTTAATTAAAAAAATGCATGAATTTTGTCTTTGTTCTTGTTTCCCAGCACCTAGTATAGAGTCTGGCACAGAGTAGGTGGGTTAAAAAAAAAAAAAAAGAAATTTCAGACCAAAGACACAAGGGGAAGTTTAGTCCAAAGGACTAATGGACCACAACTACCACAACCTCTACCAGAATGAGCCCAGAACAACTAGATGGTGCCTGGTTGCCACCACCGATTTCCCTGACAGGCATCACAATAGAGGGTCCTGGACAGAGCAGGAGAAACACGTAGAACAAAATTCAAATTAAAAAAAAAAAAAAAAGACCAGGCTTGCTGATCTGACAGGACTGGAGAAACCCTGACAGTATGGCCCCCAGACACCGTTTTAACTCAGTACTGAAGTCACTCTTGAGGTTCACCCTTCAGCCAAAGATTAGACATTTTAGGGCCAAAAATACCACACACGAGGGACATGCTCCAAAAGCAAAGACAAGAAGGCAGGAAGGGACAGGAAAACTGTACGACGAATGAAAACAGGGAACCTAGGGTAGAGAAGGGGAGAGTGTTGATGCATCACGGGGTTGGCAACCAGTGTCACAAAACAACTTGTGTATTAACTGTTTGATGAGAAACTGATTTGCTATGTAAACTTCCACCTAAATCACAATAAAAAAGATGAAATTTCTAGCAGGACTTTTTAATATAATCTTATGGATGTTCTGTATCTTAAAGAAAAGTCTCTGAGACCCAAAGAGATTCTTTAGGGGTCAGTGAAGAGATGAGTTTGGTGACATGGTAGGAGACAAAGTGGGAGAGGTTTGGGCTGCAGACACAGGAGAGCTAGTCAAGGATTCTGAGTAGGGGTCGTGTGGGGAAAAGTATGCAAAGAATTATTTTAGGGAAAAAAAAAATCCTCAGAACAAAAGGTGCTGCAGCTATAAAAGTCTGCACTGCTTTAGATATTGTTGCTTCTCTATTCAGTGGTCCTGGGCCTCCATAGGTTGGAAATGGGCTGGGTAACCTTTTATACTGTACTGCATCCACCCAAAAGGAGCCCTGATGGCAGTGGTTAGTGCTCAGCTGCTAACCAAAAGATTCGTGGTTTGAACCCACCAGCCACTCCATGGGAGAAAGATGTGGCAGTCTGCTTCTGTAAAGATTTACAGCCTTGGAAACCCTGTGAGGGCAGTTCTTCCCTGTCCCGTAGGGATGCTGTGAGTCAGAATGACTTGATGGCAACAAGTTACGGGTGTATCCACTCAAAGTACAATAAAAAAATAGATGGTGTTGAGTTGACTCCGACTCAAGGAGACACTATGAGTGTCAGAGTAGAACTGTGCTCCATAAGGTTTTCAATGGCTAATTTTTCAGAAGTAAATTGCCAGCCCTCTCTTCCCAGGTGTCTGGGTGAACTGGAACCTTCAGCCTTTCGGTTAGTAGCTAAGCGCGTTCACCGTTTGCACCACCCAGGGACTTCCAGAGTACAATACAAAACATAAAGGTTCAGACATAGAAGAGAGACATTTAAAATACCATTGGGAAACAGAGATGAATATTCATATGATTATAAGGATATTAACTGACGGAGGGGTTTAAAATGTCATTTTGTAGGACAAAGCACTCTGCCTACTTTTTTTCTACCTATCTCTAAATAAGCTCAGACTACATTCCCAACAAACTTATTCCGGGATCTCCCAGCCCTTTGGTGTAATGGGCTGCACACTTTCCAGTCTCCCTTAGGCCCCTCGGCTTCCTCCTGCTCTGGTCTCGGTCACACAGAGCACGTCTGGTCACCCCTTTTGTTTCGAATACCCCATTCACTATTCTTGACCAGGACAATCAGCTAGCTCTCAGCATTTCTTCCTCAGCTAGAATCTCAGTCTTCAGAGGTTCCACTGATGCAATCTTCCCCAGAATGAAGTTGGAGTGTTTCCCTCTGGCAACTGAGCCCCACATCTGTCCCCAATGCCAGGTGCCCTCACTGGCCTTCTAGCTGGTACCTCATTCAGACCTGCCCTGCCAAGCAGCGTTGCCAAGCCTGCCCATTCCCCTTTCCTCCACCAGTAAATTATTCCATTTCTGAGGCCTGTCTTAAGATAATCCAGAAAATGAACTGATGCTTATGTGAAAGTGGGTAGAAGGGAGTCAACATTTTCGTGAATTAATGTGATTCTCCCCTCAGGTGCAGTTTAACTGTGATCAGGGTATAATTCCCGCTGTAAGGTGGCTCAGGCCCACAGTGCAGGTCAGTGGAGGCTGTATTTTTTAAAGGAAGCCTTGGGAGTCTCTCAAATCACACAGCATTTAGGCAGCCATCTAGTCTTGCCATGTGTGCTGTCATTCTGACTTTTAAATTCTGCACCTACAGTGGCAAAAGCGAGGCTGGTGGAGGTTCATCCTTCCTTATGTATACTGATTGATCCAGGAGGAGAGCTAGAAACTTCGGAAGCTTCTGGCTACTCATGTCCTATATGATGAGGCAATGTTTAGAGGACGTGGTGTCCAAATGAAGCTGGGCATTTTGATATCTCCATGCGTGTGCCAGCTTTCCTCAGCTTTTAATTTTTTTTTCCATTTCAACATTTAAAGTTTAGTTTTATTTTTTATTGTGGTAAAAATATGTACATAACAAAGCATTCGCCATTTCAACATTTTTTACCTGTACAATTCAGTGGCATTAATTATGCTTATTATGTTGTACACCCATCATCATTATTCATTTCCAGATTTTTCTGTCACCCTTAACAGAAGCTCAGTGCCCCCTGAGCAATGACTTCCCCTTTCTTCCTCCATCCCCTCCTGGTAGCCATTAATAAACTTTGGTCTCTATACCTTTGCCAAGTTCTAGATATTTCATATAAATGGGATCATACAGTATCTGCCCTTTTGTGACTGATTTCACTCAGCGTAATGTTTTCAAGATTCATTCACGTTGTAGCATGTATCAGGAATTCATTTCTCTTTGTGGTAATATTCCATTGTCTGAATATACCACATCCTATTTATCTGTGGACAGATGGTTGTTTCCTAAATAGACATTTGAGTTGTTTCTACCTGTCCTCAGCTTCTGACTCATTACAGCTCTGATTAGCACTGAGAGAGGTACAAGTCCAGGGAAAATGTGTGGTTTAAGACTTGTCCTCTACTCAGACCATCCAGCTGGGCTCTCAACTTTGACTTCCTCTGAAGTCATATCAGACAGCCTATTATGCCTCCTTGAAGGAAACTCCAGTAAGGTAATGGTGTGTAAGCTTAGTTTTTGATTCTGAGTACTAGAATGGGGGCGAGGTGGAAGGAGGAGGGCATCTTAGGAGCTTTACCTTCAAGATGGTATTCATCCTTTTAGAGATTATCATGAAAACAGATATTGGTGCAGAATGACTTCTATGGGCTAATCAATCAATCACAGCTGCGTGGGACCCAGTGGACATTTGGAAACGAGACTGGGGAACACTACCCGTATTTAGTGGGCAGGAGCCAGGGATGCCAACTAATCCACAGTGAAGACTTTTCTACCCCAAATGCCAGTGCCTTCTTTATTCTGAAGTGGGTTTTTAAAGCCTGGTACTTAAAATAAAAGAGAGAATGAAAATTATTGGGTGCATGGACAAAAGAGAAAGCTAGGAATGGCACAAATCACTCAACCGTTTTAGTCACCCCTGATCTCAGGGTAGAAGACATTCACGGTCCATTTTAACTGTGATCAGGGGATCACCTACAGGGGATATGATATGTGTGACCTACAGGGGATATGATGTTAATGGCTGTTCCTGGTTGATGATGCTCAGCTGCCTGGGTCCTCATCTTTCCTGTCCCAGGGAGTGCTAGGGGAGGAGAGTGGGTCTTAGAGTGACATTTTGATGAGATAGGTGATAACCAACTCAATGGTACCACATGGACTCAGGTTCAGATCTTTCATGGGCCTGCCACCAATACCCACATCCCCCTACATGAGAAGAACTGACTTCCCACCCAAAGCCATTATACTAGAAGTGAGACGCTTATTCCTCATAGAATTTTCTCCGAAAACTCTGAAGAGAAGGAGTCTAACCAGCATTGCCTTGACTACTTTATCTTACTTATGGAGATAAACTTAACACATCAGAACACTCTAGGCTGGGGCATGATGACCAGAGCAAAGTTGGTCTCTGATTTATGAATACATTCACTATCTACACTCTGAACATTAGTATGGCTTCAGTTTCTAGGAGGTAGAAAATCTATCTGCAGGGAGAAAAACTCATGCTTAGGCTCTAACCTGCTTCCCCTTTATCCCAGTGCCCAAGGCTAGATAACCACAAGCAGATCTTTCAGAACTAGCCTCCACACACGTTCTTAGAAAACAGCTCTGGGAACAATGAGCTGTGCTCATTGCTAGGGTTACTAAGGGAGCCATTGAGTGTTACTTCAAGCTGTAGTTAACTTTCAGCAAGAAATCTGAAAGGAGGAGGAAATGCCTATGAATAAAGGGAGAATTTATCTTTCTTTGACTGGAGAACATGAATGGGGGCAGTGATTTGCTGTATCTGAGTGGGAGTGGCCTTTATCACCCTGTTCTGGCTCCGCTCGCTTTTGCTGGATGAGATAAAGGAGTCGCTGTTTGAGGCAATCAGGACCTTCCCTTTACACACGGTGTCGTTAGCTCTTTATGTATCTGCTCCCACCCACCCCAGCTAAGTTCTTGAGAGCAAGGATCTCCTCATTTTGTATCCCCAGAGCCAACCCTAGTGCTGGTCTATAGTGGATGTTCAGTGGATGTTTCCTGAATAAATAAATAAATGAAGTTGAGGCCAGAGGTTCTCAAACTTTAGCTTGTATCAGAATCATCTGTGGACTTTGTTAAAACACATATTCCTGGGCCCCCCACCCAGAGTATCTGGTTCAGTAGGTCTAGGGTGGCTCCTAAGAACTTGCATATCTAATAAGTTCCCAGGTGATGCTGATGCTGCTGGCCTGGGACCACACATTGAGAACCATTGCTGTAGACTGGTCCAGAGGGCTGGCTCTGGCTAGCATAATTGAAGCTCTCTATTGAAAAAGGAAGTCACAGGTGAATTGATGTCTCAGAAAGAACACTGGACTTGAAATCTGAGGACCAAGATTTGAGTTCTGGCTCTTCTGTTTGTGAGCTGTGGGACCTCGACAAGTCTCTAGCGTCTAATGTTTGTGAATTGGTTTCCTTATGGACTAGGAGCTGCCTGGCCCATTTGTTGTGAGGATCAAATGAGAATACGTATGTGAAGATGATTGGTAAACTCAGAGATTGGATGTAAATTATTGTAGGAACAGAACTTGATCAAGGTTATTGCCTTGTATGAGCTGAATAAAAAAAGTTAACTGTAAAAGAATGACAAATATGATAGGGAAGTAGGGCAAATACAAGTAAAATAATTAGAGTAGATATCCAGACAGAGTTTAACCAAGCATTAAATTGTTTATGTCCACAGAAGGGCTCTAGAAATTCAGATCAGTGTGTGTGTGTGTGTGTGTGTGTGTGTGTGTGTGTGTGTGAGACAGACAGAGAAGGGGTGAGGAGGGCACATGTAGGAGGATCAGGAGGGGCTGGGGTGGCCAGGAGAATCTTCCTCAGGAGTGAGGTTGAGTGGTAGGCCTTAAAGGATGGTTAGGATTTGGATCAATGAAGGGCAGAGAGACCTCCTGAGCAGAGTCATGGAAGGTGGACCTGTCCACTCCACAAGTGGAGGGGGCCTGAAGGGGACAGTGGGAAATGAGATTGTGCATATGGTACAGCCAAGTTACAGGCCTATAAATCAAGGAAGAGCAGTTTACTTCCATGTGGTAGGAAGTAGTACGTTAGACCTAAGATAATGAAAATGGATGTTTAAGCTTCAGAGGGGCTGGCAGCCAAGAAGATAGAAAGAAGGCTCTTGTGTTAATTCAGACCCAAAGAAAGGAGACCTGGTACTGTGCTAGTGGCCATAGGAGTAGAGAGGAAAGGGTGGACATGAGTGATTTTTCAGAAGGAAGGGCTTGATAAAGGAGTATAAAGGGATTGTCAGACGTGGTTCCAGGTTTTCAAGTCTGAGTGGCTGTGAGAATGGTGGAGCCCTCGGCAGAGACAGGAAAATGGGAGAGTGGCTAGCTTATTTGAGGAGTGGTCAGGTAGTATGGGGAGAGTTCATGAGTTTGGTTTCAGTTTTGAATATGTGACATGACTGTGAGGTTTCCAAGGAGCCCTGGTGGTGCAGTGGTTAAAGCGTTTGGCTGCTAACCAAAAAGGTTGGCAGTTTGAACCCACCCACTGCTCCACGGGAGAAAGATGCGGCAGTCTGCTTTTGTAAAGAGTACAGCCTTGGAAACCCTATGGGGCAGTTCTGCTCTGTCCTATGAGGTTGCTATGAGTTGGAATTGACTTGATGCCAACGGGTTTTTGGTTTGGTGACCTTTCCAAGGGAAAATGCTATTAAGCTGTGAAGAAACAGGCCTGACGTTTGGGCGACAGGCCAGGAAAGAGAAGCTGTTCCTCTGTATCATGTCCGCATCTTGGCCATTTAGAGCAGAGGGGTGACTACCTGTGATGTAACTGATTGGGTTCTTGGTGTTTTCATGACTAGAGATTTTCCTGCCAGGTCGTCTTTGGGGCCAGGTATGCCCAACTCCCTCAAAGGCTAAACCTAAGTTCTTGGCTCCTGTCTTTTCTCTCCCGCAGGGGATGCTCTTAGTTACCACAATGGCTGGAAGTTTACAACTTTTGACAGAGACAATGATATTGCCCTCAGCAACTGTGCCCTGACACATCATGGTGGCTGGTGGTACAAGAACTGCCACTTGGCCAACCCTAATGGCAGATATGGGGAGACAAAGCACAGTGAGGTAGGTGGCAAGTGAACATCTCTTTTGTCCTAGATTTTGCGCACATCCAGCCCCCAGAGAGACACCCTCCAGGTTAGTTTGGCTGCTTCTCTCTTCCCGATGCTTCCAATCAGGGCAGGAGAACTTCTCCTTCAGGTTCCACGGCCTTGAGGTAATGGCCCTCCCTGCCCATCTGCTGTGGCCTCTCTGCATTCCCACCATTGCTCCACATTTGCTTAGCGGCAGAGCTGAGGCTACTCACTGCTGTATAAAGACAGAGATGATATGGGTCACACATCATCCCGCTTTACGTGTTCATACACGGATACTTCATAATCCTTTTTAGTTGTTGCCCTGGTTACACCAGAGCTATTTTTCTCAAGTTCTTTGATTACAGGTGCAACAAAGTCCTTTCTGCCTTAGGTCAGACCCACCCTTGGATCCAGTTCACCCAAAGCTACCCACAGTCTGCCCAGAAAAAAAAACAACCCCAAAACCAAACCAGTTGCCATAGAGTTGATCCCGACTCATCGTGACCCCATGTTGTGTCAGAGTAGAACTGTGCTCCATAGAGTTTTCAGTGGCTGATGTTTCAGAAGTAGATGGCCAGGCTTTTTTTCTGAGGCACTTCTAGATGGATTTCACCCTCCAACCTTTAGGTTAGCAGTCGAGGGCGTTAACTGTTTGCGCCACCCAGGGACACCAGTCCGCCCAGGGCATTGTGCTAAACCAGTCTCCATTTCAGGAGTGTGCACACCAGAGCTAAGAGTCCACAAGTGCTCTTCTCCCCTCCCTTGTTCTGAAACTTTCCTACCAGCAGTTTCTCCAGCCTCCATGACCTATGTACCTCATCTGGACTCCTTGCCAGCTACTAGGCATCTCCTGCCTGCTCCCTCGCAGCTTCTTGAAAATTGCATCTTTGTTCCTACTCATCATTAATCTGCCCTCCTCCATGAACCCTCAGAGTCCCCATCGTGAGTTTCTGATTTCCCATTCTAGGTCCTGATCCTAGCCCCCCGGAAGCCACCTCTCCCCAGAACTCACCCCGTACCAATTATGACTGTAAATACTAGCACATCTAAAGTACAGGTCCATTTTGATTACTTTGGCCCTGGCCAGGCTGCGGGCACTTCCAATCCTTACGTGATTTTTCAAAGGGGAGAAGAAATTTGCCCCCAGGGAAGCCAAGGAGGGTGGGCCCGTGAATCATGGTGGCACCATGTGGGCTGGTTCAGGGAAGCCTGTGATCAGAGATCAAATATTTGAAATGGGCAGCCAGCATGCCCGAAACCATCCTCATATTTGCTAATAAAAGACATTCATCTGGTTAATGTGCTTTCCACAGTCTGCAAGGCATTTAGCTTCTTGTTTATTATTTACCTCACAAATTAAAATACATAAGATTGGTCACTTGGGCTCTTTATTGGCCAGGTTGCAAGGTTACTAAGTGAATTAAATATTATTGCGCTCACCAGTCAAAAGACATAAAATGAAATTTAGTTTTCAGTAGGCTATTTGTTACCCCAGAGCTAATATCTAAACAGTTTAAATTGAAAATGATTTTATACAATTGGCCAATTAATATGTTTACTTTTGCCTTTTATTTATTTATTTTTTTGAAAGGAAAAGAGGGAGGCAAAGATAATTTGATCATTGCTGGCCATGTTGACCCAGGTTATCTTTGCCTTCCCTTTGGCCTCACCACCTCCTGGGATCACACCCTCATCCTCCTATGGAGGCACGGAGGCCAATCAGCTTCCAAGTCATCAGTCTGCCTAACCCCAGCTGCCTGGCAGAGGGCGCATTTTTTGAGATTGGCCCTCATCTCCCTTATCAGACACTCCCCGCCCCCTTTCACCACTTGTCTCTCTTTTTCTTTCCCCTGGGCGTAGTGGTTAAGAGCTACGGCCACTAACCAAAAGGCCAGCAGTTCAAATCCACCAGGTGCTCTTTGGAAACTCTATGGGGCAGTTCTACACTGTCCTATAGGGTCGCTATGAGTCAGAATCGACTCAACAGCAATGGGTTTTAAGCAGAGTGGGGGAGTCCCTGGGTGGCACAAACAGTTAACAGAAAGGTTGGCAGTTTGAATCCACCAGAGGCACCTCAGAAGAGAGGCCTGGTGATCTCCTTCTGAAAACAAAACAAAAACAGCCATTGAAAACCCTATGGAGCACAGTTCTCCTGTGACACACATGGGAACACCATGAGTTGGAATTGATTTTTTTAAGCAGAGGAGTGGTTTCACTGGCAAAGGAACATTTCCTGCTACAATAACCCACCCCACCACCTCTCAAATGCTTCTTCTTGATGTTGGCTTTTTTACACAGGGGGTAAACTGGGAGCCATGGAAAGGACATGAATTCTCTATTCCTTACGTGGAGTTGAAAATCCGCCCTCATGGCTACAGCAGGGAGCCTGTCCCGGGCAGAAAGAAGCGGACGCTAGGAGGAAAGACAAGAACATTCTGATGGCCTGTTTGAGCAATCGCTGCATGAGACAAGACCAGCCCAGGTTGGGGCATGCAAGCCTGGGCTGGGGCGGACAGTGGCAACTGGCCAATGACAGTTTGAGGGATCCTCATAGCCTCTAGTTTCTGAGATTGATGGATAACCTGCAGGGCCTGTGTGATTCAAAGCATGTCACCAAGCTTCAAGTTATAGAGGTCCCTTCCCTGCCACCTGCTTTATTGCCCATGTGATATTATCTATAGTGGAGGTCCGAACATCAACAAAACAGTAGTTGCACAGTGTGCATAGGTAGGACAGTACTGGAAGTGCATGGTTTCTCAGCCTATCTCCAGTAACAGATACACTTGATTAGGGCAAAAGGGGATCGTCCAGCACTTCACAATTAGAAAGTTCTAGAAAAAAAATTTTTTTTTTTTTTTTTTTAGAAGCTCTGCGAATACTAATCTTCTCTCTGGAAAGACGCACCAAAGAGATATTCTAATTAACAAGGGGTCAGGGCTGAGGTAGTCTGATGCTTGTTACCTCCTGTTCCCACTGAGTTTTGAGGAAAAAGGTATAAATCTCCCCCTTCCCTTCAGTTGCCGGTGCTTTGAGGAAGACAAAGGGAACAAAAAGAGGCCCAGAAGGATTCACATTTAGCTAGATTCTGACTAGTATTCAGCATGCTGGAAACCACAGCTTTCACCTTAACTGCTATGTTTAAGTGCCCCCTTTCCAAGTATTTGCATAATCACTTTCATAGACCTGCATATGTTGTGAATAAATTCTCACTCATTTCAGCTTTAAATAATTGGACTCTCCTGATAATTGTTACCTCCCACAGACTCTTCTTTGACTCCCTTTCCTACCCATCAAGCCCTCAGCCTCCTCCTCCCTGGGCTGCCCACACTGTTGACCTGTGGGTTTGCTGTAGTTCCTTGGCTGTGGGGCTTACTGTTTGAATGGAGACTTGGCATGATCAAATCCTTTTTGCTTATTTTCCTATTATTTTGGAAGAATTTCTGTAGCGAATTCAATGACCACTGAAGCAACTTAAATTCCTGTCCAAGAAAAAAAATAAATAAACCACTTGATTAAAAAAGAAATTGCCTTGGGATATTTTCTCCGCTTAAGTGCACTTGGATTCTAAATTTAACCTTAAGTGCAAGTGAAGGTACAATTTGTGCATTATAATGGAATTTGGTTGGCTGTGGTCTCTTTCTTGTGTGATGGCAAATAATGGTATTTGGAATGCAAAAGGAGGAAGGAAAACAAGTGCCTTAGAAGCTGCAGTCTACCTCCAGGACTGCGGTGGAGTGTATTGCCTCAATTTCTCCAGGTTTTAACTTTTGGGTGAATGCCAAGCCATACTCCTGAAACATATTTTTGGCAACTTTTAAAGTGTTCAATAAGGGGCAGTGGTGGTTCCGTGGTAGAATTCTCGCCTTCCAACCCGGAGACCTGGGTCTGATCCCCGGCCATTGAACCTCATGCGCAGCTACCACTTGACTGTCAGTGGAGGCTTGCGAGTTGCTCTGATGCTGAACAGGTTTCAGCAGAGCTTCCAGAATAAGCCAGACTAGGAATAAAGACCTGGTGATCTATTTCTGAAAATCAGCCAGTGAAGACCCTATGGATCAAAACAGTTTGATCTGCAACAGATCGCGGGGATGGTGCAGGACGGGCAGTGTTTCATTCTGCATGCATAGGGTTGCCCACTCAAAAGCAGCTAAGAACAACAACAACAAAATTTTCAGCTCTCTGTCCCCTCTCCCCAGCACACACTGATCTGATAATCAGTGATCTGAATGAAGTATAGTCTCAGCGTTTGGACTGATCATTAAAAACACGTGCTTGCATGTTGTCCATGGATTCCACAAGAATTTATTAAATGTCTGCCTGCTCCATACCAGGTTGTGTGCTAGCACTGGGGAAACAAATAAGTCACAGAGGTGAACTCACACAGGTAAGCAAGCCAGACCTGGTCTTGTGCTTTCATTCATTCATTCACTCACTCATTCATTTGACAAATACTGATTACGGCCTATTCTGTGCTGGTTTCTAGTCTAATCACTGGTGCTATAGAAAAAGAACAAACATAATATTCCTGTCCTCCTGCTTATACTCTAGTGCTGGAGACAGACAATAAACAGGTAAACAAATGTATAATTTCAAGGAGTAGTAAGTGCAGAGGAAGAAATAGAAAGTAGGGTGAAGGGATGGAGGGTGGTGACTGGCGGTGGAGGTGGGGTATGGTGTTTTAGGAAGGGGGGCTTAGGAAGGCCTCTCTGAGGAGGGGATATTTACAGAGACCCACCAGGTTTCTTCTAGTCTTGCTCCAGCTTTGTCAGGGTCTGAGCCCGAGACAATCTCGTCCATTTGAAGGACCTTCCTACAGCTTCCCTCCAGAGTCCTCTTCCCTTCTGCTGTGTTCCATGACCCTGTTTGCACATTGAGTACTCACCTTGCTGACTCAAGCCTTGTGCTCATCCCAGTGGGTTCACGCTTTTCAGAAAAGTGCTTCCTTTGCAAAGTGGATCAAAGCCCAGAGCCCGATTCAGAGCCAGGGATAGTGAATGGTGGGCAATGCTTCTCAATTTATAATCTGCTTGTTAAATGTGCTGGTTAAAACCAGGTTGCTGGGTCTCACCCCTAGACCAGCTGGGGGCTGTTGCCAGACTACAGGCTACTATTTGAGTAGCTCTGGTGTATTCAGTGGCAGGATTCTTGCCTTCCATCCTGGAGACCTGGGTTCGATTCCTAGCTGATGCTGCTCATGCGCAGCCACCATGTTGTGTGTTGCTATGATGCTGAACAGGTTTCATTGGAGCTTCCAGACTAAGACAGACTACGAAGAAAGGCGTGGTGGTCTACTTCCAAAAATCAGCCAATGAAAATTCTATGGATCACAGTGGTCTGATCTGCAACCAGTCATGGGGAGAGTACATTTTGTTTTGTTGTACATGGGGTCCCCATGAGTTGGGGTCCGACTCAATGGCAGCTAACAATAACAACAGCTCTGGTGTAGTGGCCCGTGGTTGGCCTTTTACCTCTGGATGAGACTATTACGGCAGTAGATTATAAAGTACATACTCCTGTGTTCACTGACCCCAGCATTTTTCCACCACTGGCCAAGAAGTGGACTTGTGGGAAACTGGAATTATTCCTTACATTCTTTTGCCTGTAGGACCAATTCTGCCCTGAAAGGAGGTGACGGAGACAACCTTAGCTGACCCTTCAAGGATTCTATTGGGGGCAGTGTAAGTGCCAGGGAAGCTCATTTGTAAAGAGTGTTTATTTGAGGAAACATTCCAGCCCTAAACCCTGTGCCTAACCTCATTTTGACTTGACCAGAGCTGATGGCTACCACTGTGTTAGCTGAATATAGGCTCAAGGAATGGGTCTCTGGGTAGAACTGCTTTTCAGAGTGGGCCAAATACTTTTCTTGGAGCCAGGTTAGGAGCCATCAGGCTTTTGAAGCTTACAGGGACAATTCCTACCCTTTAGGACAAACCAAAACAAACAAAAGCTGTCATAGATGGGCAGGCTGCACGCCAGGCAGTAGGGGTGGAAGGGAGGAGAGAAGTAGCACAAGAATTCGATAAAGTTCCCAAGGCTTTGCCTATTATGTGCAAGACACTAGTGACTGAGTGATGAGCAGAACACAGCCCTGACCCTTAGGAAACGCAGTGTGGTGGGGAGGCAGCGTGGGAACCAATCATGACAGCACATGGGGAGAGCGAACCCGTGGGGTGTGGACTGAGTGCTGGGAGCAGAGTCGGGTGACTAATGCTGCCTGGGGGGCTGGAGGAAGCGTCACTGGGATGGGGCTGGTGTTAGGTCTGGAAGGGTGAGTCTGAGTTTGCCAGAGGAGAAACATGAGGCATAGGGGAAGGGGCAGGGCACTTCGGAAACTCCAAGGAAACTCCAGGGCCAAGATGAGAAAGTGTGGAGCATGGTGTGTTTGAGGGAGGGACAGTGCTTACTTAGTGAGGTGAGGAATGCTTGGTGGAAGTCAAGTTGGAGGGATGGGCAGGGATTCATTTGTTGCCATGCTGGTACATGTGGCTCCCAGGACTCACTATCCATCAGTCTCAACTGGGAGATTTTATAAATATCATTGCCCAGCTCCACCGCCAGAGACTGATTTAATTGGTCTCAGGTGGGTCCTGTGTGGCCATGGTTTTTAAAGCTCCCCAGGTGATTCTAACCCAGGTGATGCAGCCAGGGTTGAGAAGCACTGCAAGGATGAAAGAATTTGGACAGTGGACACTCAGAGGCCTTTAAACCTTGGAGTGACTTGGTGAGGCATGCATTTTGGGAACATCAGTCTGGTGACAGTATAGACAATGGGAGGGTTTTGGAGGAAGTTTAGGGGAAAGAATAGAGATTCACAGACAAGTTAAAGGCTATTGCAATGGTTCAGGCAAGACACAATGACCTCCTCGGCCCATGGCACAAATGCTGGGGAAGGGGAGGAGGGCACCAATCAAAGAGAGATTTAGAAGGAAGAATCAACATGATTTAAGGAGGATGGGTGGTGAAGGCAAGGGAGGGTCCTTTTGTGGCAGAAAACAACTGCTTGTTTTTGATTGCAGCTGCCTCTAGGAATAGGGTCCCAGATTTATGTTTGCTAAATGAGGTCGAGACTCTGCTTTTTAATTTAGGAGTCTGAGGGACTCAAGGATTATCAAAGTCAGAAAAGTTGAAGAATCCAGAGAGAAAACAAAGACTCACTCAAAGAATTGTGATCAAGGGGATGTCGTGAAAGAAAAGGACCATGTGTGGTGTGTAGAAAGAAACAGAGTGCATGGACAGGGACAAGCTAATGGAAGTATAGCAAGGCAGAAGGAAAAGCAAATATAAACACTGAAAAGCGCTTGGCAAAACTTGGTCAGTTGGAGAAAACTCTTCACTAAAAAAAATTTCCAAGCATTACTTAAACCACTAGAGGAGCGGCTAGGCCAGCAGATGGCAGTGTTGTCATATTGGGGGCCTCTCCCTTCAGCCCCACTTTTCTCTCCTCCACTAAGGGGGAGTTCTGGAGAGCCCCCACTTTTCTTCCTTCTGAGGTAACATTGTCTAGGGTCAGCTGGTGGGGTCCAGCTCCATCCAGCCTATGCTTGGTGGGTGTTCAGGCAGTTGTTGCTGGAGGAATGCACAAAAGTAATCCGTGGCAAATACCTCAAAGAGATTGCCTAGTTAGACCTGGGCCCCATCCCCAGACCTGGTGAACAAGGCAGGATGATGAGATGCGGGTAGGGGGAGATGTTGGCAGCAGGAAAAGTGAAAGGGGCACCGCTGGCCAGGATTTTGGGCAGTTCCTAAATTGCAACTGAATTCCTTTCCTAAAGTCCTTCTGCTAGTTGCTTGTTTCTATGGGGGAAACGAGAGAAGTTGGGATCCGAGGAAGCCCTTTAAAGCCTGTTTATTCTAATCCATTGCCGTCAAGTTGATTCCAACTCATAGCGACCTTATAGGACAGAGTAGAACTGCCCTATAGGGTTTCCAAGGCTGTAATCTTTATGGAAACAGACTGCCACATCTTTCTTCTGCAGAGCTGCTGGTGGGTTCTAACCACCAACCTATAGGTTAGCAGAAGAATGCTTAACCACTGCACCACCAGGGCTCCTTGTTTATTCTATAATATAGATAAATTGAAGTGCACTTATAATGACAAAAATAGAAAACAATAGTATTGCAATATTGTAATTTTAAATAAAATAAGGCTACGAAATGGAATGAAAACACTTCTTTATTTTGGTAAGTGAGGAAAATTAGGTTTAATTAGAGATCTAAGGAGGCAGAGGAGGCTTGCTGTGGGACATCCAAAGGAGGCATTTTAAGGCTTGTGGGCAGAGCCCTTGACATGTTCAACACATTTCCAACTCAAACGAAGTGTTCCTGCAAGTTCAACAGCCTTTGAGGAGCCAAAGTCAGCTGATTGGCCTGCGTTACGACGGCCTGTGTGTAGAAGAAGCACTGGAGTAGGAGTCTGAGACTTTGGTTTCCATTCCAGGTCTGAGTAAGTTGGCTTAGCCTCTCTGGACCTCATTTTCTTCATTTATAAAATAAGAATGACTTTAATCTCTGATTTACTCACTGTACCAATTGCTGCGAGAATCAAATGAAGTAATGAAAGATACTGCTCTTTACACGTTATGAAGCACGTCTCAAATTGTAAGATAGTGGCCTTGGAACTTTGTTCTTTATAATTTCATTCAAAACTTTTCATTTTTCTTTTCTTTTTTTCCCCTTGATAGAGGTGTATCTCTAGCCAACTCCAAGGTATATTTGCTATGACTGGCCACCAACAAGGAGCCCTGGTCAGTTAAGTTTGGAAACATCCTGATTTAAGCAGAGTTAAGCCTGTTTCTTTACAATAGTACCTTTTAAAACCTGCCGAGTGATACAAGCATGGTGGATCTCAAGGGGGAGAAGGGAGTCAGGGACATATTACCCACTAGGCAAGGTAGGCACAGGCTGAATTGTGGTGAAACTCAGGTGAAATTGTGCACTACAGACTAGTAAGTAAACACAGTAAAGCCAGTGCATACCATGCTTACTGGTTAATCCACCCTCAGGGGAGTCATATGCAGTAAATTACTTACTTGCAAGCTTATTTGACCAGAGAACTCTTCTGTTTTCTGAGTATCTAGACAGTATTTCTAAAAGCCTGGTTCAGAGACCACCTGCATCTACCTAGTGTGATTGTTAGGAGAACAAGCTGTCAGGCCCCAGCCTAGACTTATCAGATGGCGTAGGGGAAAGGGGCTGGGGATCTGCACTTTTAAGAAACACTCTATGATTCTTTTTCCCTCCCTCAACACATTTATTTAACATATAGGATGTGCCAGGGGCAAGCCCTGGCGGCGTAGTGGTTAAAGCACTCAGCTGCTCACCAAAAGATTGGCAGTTCGAACCCATCAGCAAAAGATGTGGCAGTCTGCTCTTGTAAAGATTACAGTCTTGGAAACCCTATGGGGGCAATTCTACTCTGTCTTATCGGGTCTCTATGAGTTGGAATTGACTCAACCACAATGAGTTTGGTGTTTTTGGTTTGGATGTGCCAGACTCCATGCTAGGTACTGGAAGATAGAGTGGTGAATAAGGCAGTTACAGTTCTAGCCTCATAAAGGCTAATTCCAGTGGAGGTGAGGATGGGGGTGGAGTGCTGTTAATACAGGAGAATCAACAATTACAATATGGTCTGATCTGGCTGTGATGGGGAAAACTTGTGTGGTTAGGGAAGCTTTCCCATAGGCAATGATGTAAACTATGGAACATTTTACCAAAAATATGTCACAGCAATTATGACTTAGATTCCTCATCTGTCAAATGAGCACAGAAATCCTGACCCTGACAGATTTGTGAGTATCACATAAAACTCAGTGACTCTTGGGTACATTTAGTTTGAGAACCAGTGATCTAGCTGGATTGGTGTTCTAAGGGAAATCTGTTCTAAGGTGAAAAAGAGCTTGATTTGGCCACCTGGTGGCACTGTCATCCTGGGGTGGGTATGTTGTAGGCAAGAGGAGGCAGAGGCGAAACAAAACCAAACCTCTTGGCTTCGAGTCAATTCTGACTCATGGTGACCCCATGTGTTACAGACTAAACTGAGCTCCGTAGGGTTTTCTTGGCTGTAATCTTTGTGGAAGCAGGTTACCAGATGCGGTGGATTAATTACTTTTGTGTGTGCCTTTCTAGCCATGGTCTTGTAACTCCCACCCAGGTGATTGGGTGGGACTGTGTAATAGGGTAATTGTGGCTCACCCAGGGGATTGATCAGTTTTGCCTTAAAAGAGGGCCAATTCAATTCCAGAGCAGAGAGGAGGATCCTACCACCACCAAGGAAGGAGAGACCCAGCAGCAGAGACCTGGCAGCAGAAGAGGGCACGGTGGGCCTCCTGGCCCACAGAGAGAGAAAGCTGAGTGCTTCTGGGCAGAGACTGAGGGCCAGGGAGAGGCGTGCCTGCGAGCCCAGCTGGGAAGAGGCTGTCCTGATGGAAGAACAGTATCTTGAGTATTCCTGAGCCTGAATTGTGACTCTTACTTCCCTAATAAACCCACAATCATGAGTATGGTCTGTGAGTTCTGTGTGGCCATTGCAATGAATTATCTAACCCAGCAGAGAAGTACAGAGTGCTGTGGGAGGGACGGCTGGCATCAGAATTGGTGAAGAAGGCTGAGAGAGGAGGCATGTCTGACCCCCGCCTCATAGGAATCAGCCTTGGACTGTTGATCCTGCTTCTCCTTCCCCCTTGAGAAGTTGGAGGAAGTCAGATGTTGCCCCCATGGCATTTTCACACCGTATCTTTCTTCCGAGGAGCCACTGGGAGGATTCCAAGCTCCAACCTTTGAGTTAGCGGCTGAAAGCATTAACTGTCTGCACTAGCCAGGGCCTCATTTCACACTGTAGTCTATACAGTGTCCTGAGCGGTGGCACGCAGTGGCCCTGTCAGCATTTCCCAGCCTCTGTTTTCCCAATTTCTTCTCTTTCCTAACTACGATGCAACTCTCGGACAGCTCCTGGGTGCTCTCCTCCACAGCCTGCCCTGGTACCAGCCTCCCACACTTGCAGCTCCCTCTAAAGAAGCAATGATCACACCACATTGTAATTGTGTTTGCTTCTCTGTGCTCCACCCAGGCTGTGAGTCCCTCCGGGACAACTTTATGTTCCTGGCACCTATGAGCTTGGCACATGGTGGGGGTGTGGGGAACCTTTGCCGTCGAGTTGTTTCCGACTCATAGCGACCCTATGGGGCACAGTAGAACTGCCCCATAGGGTTTCCAAGGAGTGGCTGGTGGATTCAAATTGCCAACATTTGGTTATCAGCTGAGCTCTTAATCACTGAGCCACGAGGACACACAGTAGGCAGTCAAGAATGTTTATGGAAAAAATAGCTTCAAGAAGGGGCTAGATGCGTGCATGGCCCTTCCTAAATGAAGCATCACTGTCCGGTTACCTTGGTGTTTGAAAATATCCGTTTGAACCTTACATACAGACAGAAAGCTATGTTAAAGGGGCTCTTTTTTCAGTTTTGTAATCCTGTGACTGAACTTGGGAATAATATGAAAGGCAAAGGGCAAGGGGCCAGCACAGAGTGCTCTGGTGAGTTGAGAATGCTGGTGGCATTGTCCAGATCAACGTTCACACCTCAAGGTCAGGTCGAGGCTGGGTGGGTGGGGCAGACAGCATTTAGCCCTGGCTTCCCTGCAGGTGTGCAGCAGCTGCTCCTCCCAGATGGTTTCCTAGGCAACGTTTCCTCCTCTGTACTGGAAAGTTTGGGAATGTCCTGGAGGAATGAACAGGGAGCTGGATGAAGAGTCTCTGCTGTCTGGGTGCGTGGTGATGGGAAAACTACAGAAATATCAGCCTGTCTTGGGGGCGATAAGACAAAGGGTGAGCCTGTGCTGTACGCCTGCCTTCCCAAGCCCTGGTTAAACCACTTGCCATGGAGTCTGTTCTGACTCATGGTGACCCATGTGTGTCGGAATATAACTGTGCTCACAGGGTTTTCAGTAGCTGATTTTTCAAGAAGTTAGACTGCCAGGTGCCTCTGTGTGGACTCAAAACTTCAACCTTTTGGTTAACAGCCGAGTGCGTTAGTTCTTTGCACCACCCAGGGACTCCTAAGCCCTGGTTAAAATACAGTAAACACAGTGTTTTGCCAGCGTGTTTGACCACTTCCCCCCATAAGCTTCTAGACCTATTTTGTCTAGTACGGTAGCCAGTAACTACATGGGGCTATTAAATACTTGAAATAGGGTGTAACTGAGCTACAGGACCTTTAAACAGCCACACATGGCTAATGGCACCTGTCATGGATTGAATTGTGTCCCCCAAAAATCTGTCAACTTGGCTGGGTCATGATTCCCGGTATTATATGTACCATTTTGTAATCTGATGTGATTTCCTTATGTGTTGTAAACTCTTATCACTATGCTGTAATAAGATGGACTAGCGGAAGTTACACTGATGAGGTCTATAAGATTAGATAGTGTCTTAAGCCAGTCTCTTTTGAGATATAAAAGAGAGAAGTGAGCAGAGACACATGGGAACCTCACACCGCCAAGAAAGCAGTGCTGGGAGCAGAGTGCGTCCTTTGGACCTGAGGTTCGTGCGCAGAGAATCTCCCAGACCAAGGGAAGACTGATGACAAGGATCTTCCTCCACAGCAGACAGAGAAAGTGTTCCCCTGGAGCTGACGCCCTGAATTTGGACTTGTAGCCTACTGGACTGTAAGAGAATAAACTCTGTTAAAGCCATCCACTTGTATTTCTGTTATAGCAGCACTAGATGACTAAGACAGCACCATATTGGCCAGTGCAGACAGAGCCCTGCATTTCCGTTCTCTGAGTTCTAGTGGACAGCACCGCTCTCCAATTTCTGCTTTAAAAGTGAGCACAGCCTCATCAAGGGAGGAAGCAGGAGCATCCACTGCATTTCATTTCATAACCAATGCAAAGCTATGGCACACTTGTAAAAAGAGACACCTTTATACACACACACGTGTACATGTGTATCTATATCCATCTCTGATGGCCACTATCGAGGCCTTTGATCCCTCCCCTTCCCAGCAGCAGATTTAACCCAGAGGTCTATTTTTATTTAGTTTTTGCTATTTCCTCCTTTATCCTTTGAGAAGACATTGATTGACCTCATTGAAAGGAAAGTTCTCTAAGTGTTGCCAAGGAACGTCAGTGTTTTCCTGCGCTGGCACCTCTAAGGGTGTCTGGTCTCCGAGGCTGTCTGTTTCAGGCAGTGGAGAGAGAGCTGCTTGGCCTGGGTGAAGGTGGTGACTGCGCAGGGCTGGGCCTTTGTGTCCCGGAGGGAGCCACTGCATCTGTCACTTGTGAGCAACAGCTGAAAGAGGGCAATACCTAACGTCACAAAAGTTACTGTCGGGTCCAGCAAGTACGAAGACCAAGCATGGCTTTTTATCTTATTTAACTAAGTTTTTCTTTTGTGTATGTTTGAATTTTACAGAAAAAAAAATACTGACAAATATTATACAACTTTGACCATTTATATTCTTGAAAAGTTGACTGCCCTTTCTCTATATCACCTGCCCCCTCCAACCAAAAAAAAAACAAAAGTTAACCCACTGAACAACAGGGAAGACTTCCTTTGACCCTGTCTGCTGAGTGTGGCTGAATCTGTTCAGAAGAGATCCTGGCCTGGGAGGCCTCAGCCCCAAGTCTGTGCTGGTTTAGGAAGCCCCTTCTCTATGAATCCTCTTTTTGCCCCCCATTGGCTTAGTCCCTTCCAGATGAGCCAAGGCAGGCTCCAGTCCTAAAGGGGCAGGGGCTGGGAAGGAGGAGTAAAAATGGAGAGGAATAAAGAGATGGAACTGGGGTGAGGCAGAGAGAAGACAGAAGAAGAGAAGAATAAAGCATGAGGGGAGAAAGATGAGAATTGAGTGAGAAGAAGAGAGTGGACACCAATAGTTACTGCCTCAGGCTCCATTCACACATCGATTTATTCAACCAAAACTTGAGAGAGCCCATCAAGCACCGGCACTGTTCTAGGTGCTTCAGTAAAGGTCGTAGGGGAGGTTGGGGTGGGGAAGAGATAAGCCCTATCCAGGCTTTGGGTCTTCTGGGTCCCAGGCTGTAGAAGCAACTGAGAAAGGAATTTGTGGGTATTTCATGCCTGGAGCTACAGCAAGTCTATTGGATTAGGAGACAGCAGGGACACTGTATCAGGAGACAGAGGCCTTGTCATGGCAGTGACAACTGACTGCTGTCTTAATTCCAACTAGCAGCCAGTTGCCATGGCAACCATGTTACTTGTGCAGTCCCTGATCCTGGTGATCCACTCTCCTAGATCACGTCTGACACCCAGTCTCAGCTGTCAGTCTCCAGGTCTCCCCCAAGTCATCCATTTGAGAGGGACTGAGGGCTGGAGACAGGAGGACAGCCTGTCCTGGTGGGCAGTGGTAGATGTTGGGAGGTATGTGTGTTTGGCTGTGGGAGAGAACTAGCTATCCGCTGATGTGAAGGGGACAGCCAGGTACTCCATGACAGCTCTATGTGACAAGGGTACAGAGAATCGGAGTGCTTATTTTTCCGGTCAAAGGGGTCTATGGGTGAGGGACCTGAGTGTCCAGGGAATTAAGGCCACTTAGGGTCTGAGAGTGAATGTGACTGGTTCTAAAATATATGCAGACCTGAATTATCATTTATAGGGTCACCTGTTGGAAGACCCTGGTGCAATCACCACCATCAGGTGCCCACCCTCCACAGGCCTGGAGTATACCTGGAGGGCAGGTGGGTACCAGGTGGTCCAAGTTAGCAAACACAATGCATCTTTCCATTAAAACAATCTTGTAAAATTTCGGACTGTTTTGTTACTATAAATATCATAGGTTAGCTATATTATTAATTAAATAGCTATGTAGCCACCATTTATAACAGCTTCCATGGGAAAATATTTCGAGGGTGACCCAGCAGATTTGCAAATGAACTTTTCAAGAACAAATTGCTCCCAAGTTGGGAAATGTCCATCTTTATAATATTGTCAATACAATCAAAATACCAACCAGCTCATCATATAAGCAGATTAACTCTGTCTCCCAACCTCAGCCCAGTGGAGAGAAGCTCTCCTCAACTCACTGCAGACCTAGTTTATACGTCCTTGTGTACCTTAGTACACACCAGCCAACCTGAACCTTGGTTCTGTACGCGCTTGTTTGCAGAATTTACTACCAAATTCTTATCCGCTGCAGCAATTCATGGGCTCACTGAGAAGAGAAGGTCACTTGGGGGAATTGGCGAGGTATTACAAGTTTAACTTTGACATCATCACATATGCAACAGGATGCACAGACAGTTATGAGTACCTACTGTGTGCAAGGCATTGGCCTGAGCTTCAAGATGAATTTCAACAGACCTCCATATAGCCTCATGCTACTTTCACTTAAACTGTTATGCCTGCACCCCACCTACAACATACTATGCACCAATTATGACCTTATGAGATCATTTCCAGTGTGCCTTCTGTGAACTTTACCAGTGGTTGTCTTAATTTCTTCCCCTCTGAAACCCTTTGATTATACAGGAGATACCCAGCTCAGGTGTAGCACCTCCTTATCCTTTCCATCTGTAAAACATACATGCCACAGGTTCACAATTGACATCTGCTGAAGTCAATGAGTGGATTTCCATAGCTTTCTGGCAGTTACTACCAAAAGCTGTTTGTTCTTGCTTAGAGAAGGATGCCTTGCTGAGTACTTATCAGTGGCAATGAGGACCTTGTCATGAGTTGCAAGAAAAATAGCTTTTGATTAATTTTGAGCCATCAGACTTTAAGCATTTTTGGCACAAGTGAGAAGCACAGGAACTTCGTGTGTCTGTATAAATGTACACAGTGGGGGGGGGGGGACTGTACCAGATTGCTGGAATGTCCAAATATGAGTTTTTCCAGTAAGATGTTATGTAGGGATAGGAATAGGAAAGCACACATCTCTAACCTGAGTGGTATATAGAACTGACAGTGCACAGAGGCCTTGCCTGTTTCTATAATTGTGTTTATGTGCCCAGATCTGACCAGGCCTTCCCATGAAACATTTTTTGCAAGAGTAGATAATGTATTGTCTTGCACAATGCCTTGCACAAAGTAGACAAGCAGACATTTAATGACAATTTGATGAGCAGAATATACTTGCCCACGTACCTACTGCCTGAATGTGTATGTGCGCATGTGCGCACACACTATGGAGCCATATCAAGACCCATGGATGGATGTTCTTTGTGCTTTTGCATAGGGGGTATGCTAGAGGCAGGTAGAAGGCATACCTGGAACTGTTGTAAAGAGCATTGCCATCGGACACATAGCTGCCAAGACAGTGCCCGAGAATTGTCCATGTGCTCCCCTGGGAGTGCCACTCAGTCTGAGGTTTGTTCTTTGGTTTAACGGTTACTCTGTGGGCATAAGAGTGTCACTTCAGGGACTCCTGCTCCCTACCCAGTGAGGCTGGAAGGAGGCTTAGCCTCTAGCTAGATAGGCAGTGATGGCCTCTTCTCCATCTGGAGAAGCTTGGGCTGAGCAGAGATCCAGAGGTCTTCTTCATCCTTCTTCTTCTTCTTCTTCTTCTTCTTGTTCTGCTCTGGCTGTTGGCCACTCTTGCCTGGCCGGCGGCTCCAGCAGCAATGGCAACAAATAAAGAGGAGTGTGAGGACCACCAATAATGGCAGTCCCAGGATGACCCCCAGGCAGATGGTGTTGAAGATACCCTCTTGGTGTTTGGTAGAAATGGTGTCCCAGATGGAGCTGAAGAAGGAGCTGATTTTCTCCATGGTGCTTGGCTAGACTGGAGCCAGAGGACCCTCTCAGCTCACTAGCAAGTTCTGGACTCAAGAGGGCACGGCCTTGACCAATTGTAATTTATTCCTTTTCTGGCTCTGGGTTTGGGCATGCCACTGATAGCACCTGAAGAGACCAAAACAGACAATGTAAGAGAAAAGCAGTGGAAATGGTATATAACTTTTAGTAACATTATAGATTTTAGGCTTACGAAAGGGGAAAGGAACTGAAGATTTCCACAAAGTTCACTGATAAATTTTATTGAGCTCAATACACGGATAAATGCATGTATTTAGTCAATAAGCATTAGCTAATTCTTACTACGTACACACACTGTATTAGGCTCGGGATATAAAGATGAATACTGTATCTGATCTGGCACCTAGTAGGTACTCAGTAATTGCTGGATAAATGAATCAGTATGTGTAGTCAGGTTTCTGGTCAGGGGTTGGCTTCCTGGACACTCTATAACAGCAGTTCTCAATCTTTTCTCTGCTGCAGTTCCCTTGACAGACATTGAACACCCACTCCCCACAGGATATCTCTGTACCTACCCTTCTACAAATACAACTGGCCACTATTAACACTTATTAAAGCCTAAACACAAGATGAAATGTCTTGTTGCCTTTGGTAGGGGACCTGGACCTCTCCCAGGCTAAGAGTCCTCAGCCTGCCCCACTCCTGCCTTCCTTACTGACTTTATGCTCTCTTCCCTGCTCCATGTCTTCTCCCCTCCTTGCACCCCATTCCTGGGCCTGAGTAGGGCCCATATGCTTTGGCAAGACCTCCTGGGCCTCAAGGTGTTCTGTCCTCCTGAGGCTGGGAGGACAGGGGAGACCATTTTTGCTGGTTCGGTCTGCTTTCTATCTTCCTTTCCCTGATCACCCTCATTTCTGCTTTCCATCTCCCCATCAAATACTCCCAAATCTCCTTCCCTGCCTGTTCCCTCACCCATCCTTTCTTCTTAGTGGGAAAGGAGTCTTGTAGGCTTCTCAGTAATGGAACTTCGGAAGTACTGGTCTGGGGTCCCTGGGTACCTCCCCACTCCTATCTTGAGTCAGCTTATCGCTGGGGCCATTTTCCTGTTTGCTTGAACAGAGAGGCGCCTCTTCCCTTGGTACCCCTCCACCTCTTCACATATACCCTAAGACTCAGCTCTCAGGCAGAAAGGTCTGAGAGGCCAAGTTCAGTTCTGGAATCCACAGGGTCTTGCACTGAAATAGGACTCTGAGGACAGGGATGATTTGAGGAAATTTAGGTCCTGGTGCAAGATACTGCCCTGGACCCAGAGATCAAGGAGTTGTTGATTTTCATACTGGGGACCTTCAAGATCATTCCATCCAACTCTCTCACATAAAGATGAAGAATCTGAGGCCCAGGCAGTGAAGTGACGTATCTATGGTGACACCGAGCAGTGATGAAAACCAGATCTCTGGACAACAGGCCCAGTGCTCTCCCAAGGATGCTGAGCAACTGGAGGAACTAAGGTTGATAATGATGTTACTTTGTATTTGTACTGCACTTGATACTTTTCTAATCACTTATCCGTGCTTTATATATTATAAGTGAGCAATAGGATGGTGCTGTGTCTATGGAGGGGGGCACTGGAGGAGCTAGTCCCAAATTCAACGTTAGTTCAGGATTTGTTCTGATGCCTTGCACTGGAGCACAAAAGTGGAGCCCCTCCAGGTGGTGTGTTATACACAGTACCTGTCATGGATTGAACTGAGTTCCCCCCACAAAATATGTGTGGTAAATCCTAACCTCTATGCCTGTGGCTATAATCCCATTTGGGAATAGGTTGTCTTTGTTATGTTAATGAGGCAGGCTTAGTGTAGGGTGTATCTTGAGTCAATCTCTTTTCAGATATCAAAAGATTAAACAAGTGAGCAGAGCAGAGATGTAGGAAAAGAGATGCCAAGCCACATGAAGATCACCCAGGAGCAGGAGCTGAAGAGCAAGGACCTTACCCCAGAGCCGATAGAGAGAGAAAGCCTTCCCCTAGAGCCTCTGAATTGGGACTTCTAGCCTCCTAAACTGTGAGAAAATAAATAAATTTCTGTTAAAGCCATCCACTTGTATTTCTTTATAGCAGCACTAGATAACTAAGGCAGTACCCCAGGAGTACTGTCCTTGGAGGTCTAGATCCTTGGATATCACACACTGTAAATGTCTAATGTATCCAGCATCCATGGGCTTATCTAAGCACCAATTTACCTCAGTCCTGGTCCACTAGTGTGCCCAGAGGCCCTGGGCCCCACCTCAGGGGAAATTATTTATATAATTTACATAAGTATATAAATTGTTACCTACTGCTGTGCCATTTGGTCCATGGAGCCTGAATTAATGCTACAGGATGACAATAATATAATTTTTAGCTAACTTTTGCTAAGTACTTTTTATATGCCAGGCACTGTTCTAGGCACTTCATACATAGTAACACATTTAATCTTCATTACAACCTTGTGGGACAGTAGGGACAGTTATTCCCTGCATCCTACAGCTAACTATACAGAAGCACAGGCTCCAAGGTGAGTGGGTGGTAGGCCCAGCCTTCTAACTCTGGGGAGTCTGGCCCCAGATCCCCAAGGGGTGAGCCCTTTGCAGGTGTTGCTCTGTGGTCTCCTATTCCTTTGTATGGAATTAACCTATTTTTGGCAAGTAGCCCAAGATTTACAATACTTGGTTATTCCCCAAATTGACTTAAGCATTATCCCAGTCTACTATAGCAGAGGAGTCCCTGGGTGGTGGGAATGGTTAAGTATTTGGCTGTTAACCAAAAGGTTGGAGGTTGGAGTCCACTCAGAAACACAGAAGATAGATCTGGCGATCTACTTCCAAAAAATCAGTCACTGAAAACCCTATGTAGCACAGTTCTACTGTGACACACATGGGGTCGCCAGGAGTTGGAATCGACTTGATGGCAATGGTTTACTGTAGTAAAGACTGCAAAGAGATTTATTTCTCATTGTTAGATACTTCAGAAATGCATGAAGATACACAAAATGAAAACCAAGTCCTGCCCAAGTAGAGGTTTATAGAAAGCATATGGCTGCCTGGACTTAATTCAACATACTACAAAGAAAAGCATTTGGAGAAGTCACATGCCCTGGTCAAACCCTCTCAGGGGCTGGGAACATGACATGACATAGACCTTCCCATCACCGTCAAGCTTGCCTGTCTCTTTAGAGAGAAAAACAACACTTTGTGCCCCCAATAGCCCTGCAGCGTGGCCACACCACTGCCTGGCTCCTGCTCACACCATTCCTCTCATCTCTGGATTTTCTTTCTCCCTTACATGGTCTTTGCTTTCACTGCAGCCTTGTGCGGCCCAGTACTTTTTTAGCCCAATTAGGGGACTTTTTCTGTGCTATGGTGGGAAGACTTTGGTGCTTTTCTCTAATTTGATTCTGTTGTTGTTAGTTGCTGCTGAACGGGCTCCAACTCGCGGAGACCTTATGTATAACAGAATGAAACACTGCCCAGTCCTGTGCCATCTTCAGGACTGTTGATATACTTGAGTCCATTGTTGCGGCTGTTGTGTCGACCTGTCTCATTGAGGGTTCCCCTCATTTCCTCTGACCCTCTACTTTACCAACCATGATGTCTTTCTCTAGTGATTGTTCTTTCCTGATGACGTGTCCAAAGTAAGAGAGGAATTTAATCTACACAAAAGCTTTCCTGGGGCCAAAGCCTCCTTGCACAGTATTTCTGTGATTCAAATTCACCACCACCACCACCACATTTGCTGACAAACTATTCTATGCCAGGTATGCCAGGTGCTGTGCTGGTCCCTGTGAGGAGCATAAGTGCATTAGGGGCCCACATGTGAGTTCAGTCAGGAAGACAGAAGAAGGACATCAGGCCCTAGAGCAGTTTTCATGAGGTGGGGCCGCTTGAGGGAGATCTCAAAAGATGAGCAGCATTTTGATAGAGAAACGTGGGTAAAAATGATGTTCAGAGAGAAACAAAACAAAATAAACTGAAACAAAACAAAGCAACCATCATTTAAAAAAAAGGATGTTTAGACATTCCAGGCAGAGAAACTTCTAGAACATGTGTGGGGAACAAGCGTTCCTCTGGTGAGCCTGGCTCAGGGTGGGAGAGAAGAGGACTGAAAGAAAAGCTAGAAAGGTAGGTTGTGGCCAGGATAGAAAGGACCTTCATGGGGTTTGTGTTTTTCTTTGGGGGCTTTATGGATAGGAGAATGCTGTGATCAGAGCTGCTCTTTAGGAAGAGATAATAGGATACGAAAATTCTATAAGTTGTTTTAAGTGTTGTTCATCCATTTAACAAAGACTTACTGAGCACCTAATACATGCCATGCACTGTGTTAGGTGTTGAGGATTCAGTAATGAATGACACAGACATGGTCACTAACATCATGGAGCCTCCTACATTCCAGAGGAGTTACTATTATTGAGGATCATGTCATAAAAGACAAATACACTAAGCAAATTCCAACTCGGGTTGCTTAGTTGGCTGAAATAGAAGCAAGCTTTTGAATTCCGTGTTTATCTCAACGTCCCAGGCCCCCCTGCTCCTTCCAACTTTTGTCTCAAGCTCTCCATCCCAAATAGCCTTTGAATAAAGAGATTGCTTTTCAAGCTAAAGCTAAGTCAATAATTCACTTCTGGATTCCTAAAGGTACTTATTTGAGTCTGCTCTCCCTACAGCCAAAGAGAATATTCATTAACATTTGGAAACCCAGTCTGGGGAAAATTCGGTTAAAAGGTATTCTTTATATTTTTTTAATCGAAGAATTCTTTTCTAGGGCCCCCAGGTTACTTGCTGAGCTCTATTAATCTATAGCATTTCATTAGTATTTATGAGCCTTGCATTATTAGCATTTCCAGGAAATAATCAAATATCTCCTTGGTGGTATGAATTAAAAGTCAGGGCTTCCATAGAATGTTTTACAAAAGGACCCACAATTCAGGGCCCGGAAATGTACTCTGGGGACCTCATCTTTTGCTGGCTCTCAAAGTATTGCTGACACTCTTTCAAAAATATTTCATCTACTCTTGTAAAATGAACAATAGGTGATTCTTGCCTTCCATGAAGGAGACTTGGGTTCGATTCCCAGCCAATGCACCTCATGTGCAGCCACCACAGTGGAGGCATGT